AATAATTATGGAGGGCGCTGTATATATATATATATATATATATATATATAAAATATACTGCAAAAATCTACATTTCTACAAGTTATAAAATCATTAAAAGCAGCGTTTGTCAGACATTAGTGTCTGACACATGATTTCTAATCAATTGGTTCCAAAATTGTGTCACTTACCTCTGTCACAGTGGTGTGATGTATCTCTTGCTATTTGAGAGTGACTGAATTTTCACCAGAAGCTGGTTTATGCTCTTCTTCCTCGTGTTGTCTCACCGTGTGATGAGAATCAAGGAAGCAGCGACTGTGATGTCACTCTCAACTTGAGAAAAAGAATGAAGTGCCAGATCCTGCTACGTCTATAGTCTCAGACTTGCAGTGCATCTTTCATGATAGACCACTCAGACAAACGCTGCTAACAGAAATAGTGGTGTGTTAGAGTAAAAACCATGGCCGATGCAAGACTTTGTGGCTGAAAGTGTATATTTTCTTTCTGCCCTCAATTTTACCATTTTTTACACAGAAAACTAAAACAGAAGAATAATGGAAAATGACACATTCTTGTCATGGTTCTTCATATTGCAAGCAATAGAAAATATTTTTACATGACTGTATTTGCATGAGGTTGGTAGTTAGTTTCTGCAGTTTTCCAATATGTCTCTTCAAAACATTGAGGCTTATAGCCTTACTAGTGGTTCAGAGTTCACCGAGAGTTACCATTTAGGTTGGCGTGGAGATGTAGTTGTGCATCAGTATGAGCAATAAAGCCATGAAGACCATGAAGTAAAGACAATAAGGCTAAAAAACAAAACTATCAGTTTAAAAAAGGATGTGCAATGTGTGACCACATATTATGTCAAGAATGCTCTGCAGGAAGTATGAGAACCTGTTTCCTTGTCAGTAACCAAGAGAAAACTTAACACCCTTACCCATTCACTTGTCATAATCTATAGAGTGACTTCAACTGCATTGTAGTGCCAGTGCCTATGTGGGTTCTGAGTAGCTCTTCCCCCACTGTTATGTATGAATAAATTTGTTCACATCCTCAACTTTAACTGATGACTATTAGCAGTCAGAATATTGTCATTTCTATGTAGAAGTGAAAGACTAAACAACCTGGATTGCTATGGCAGTTTGCAGGTATTGAGTTATTGTGCATTTTTTTCTTATCAAGCTCCTGTAAAAGTGTATAGATATGTGGGCACCATCCAAGGACATTTAGAGCTTATACAATCTTGCAAATGACGTCATGTCATTATGTTCCAAGTTGTTACTGTTTATACTTTGGCTTCTTACTCTTGTGCTATTTTCAGAGACAAGTATTCTAAATACACTGAGTGAAACGTAAGACTTTAAGATATTCTCAGTAAACCAGAGTATTATATCACAAACTACTTTTAAGTAGACAGGTAGCAGTAGCCTCGTAGTTCTGCAGAACAATAAAACGATGCAAACTGGGGTAGAGTTTTGCTGGTGAAAAGGTTGTCATTCTCACTGAGGTGTGAGTTTCAGTTTCTGCCTGCAGGCATAAATACTGCACAGAAAACCTGGGTGTGAATGTTTGATCTTAAAAGTGACAAACTGACATTAAATGACAGCTCGGTTCTATGTTGTGCGAATTTTAAGTTGACCCACTTATGGGTTCTCTTCAGAAAACAAAGCATTTCTCTGAGAAATGCCATGTGAAGGACACTTCACTATTTACCTAGGTGGGGAGAAGAGAGGAAGGGCAGGAGGAAACTTATGCTTCCTTCTTGCTGATTTATGTTTCGGACATCTGCACAAAACTAAGCTTTCACACACTCTGCTGATAGTACAACAAGCTAGAACTGCTTTTCCACTTTTAAGGTCCTACAGGCAAAGGAGAGAGTTACTTGCTTTGCTGTAGACAAAACTGTTTTGACTTGGCAAGCTGATTTACATTCCATTTGGACTGCATTGAACATTTCAGTATAACAGACTAGTAAGCAGCTGATATTTAAGAATTTAAGAAAACTTGTAGCTTATATTTTGGATCTGAAATCTATCTTGTGTGACACCAGTCCTGGAAGTTTTCTGACACATCTCGGAAGTTAGTTTGGGGTTGTTGCACGGAAGTTGCAAAGATTTATGTGGTGGCTGATATTGTGGTTGTAGCTGGGTGCTAGGATGTGACATATTTTCTGTAGTCATAGAGATGGTCCTTTTATATAAATAGTATCTGCGGCATCAGTAGTGACAACAATATTTGTTTAAGTGAATGAGAGATCTGATTTGATTAGGGCCATGGACAGAGACATGAAGAGCTTGCGTGTAGATTTAGGTTTGTATGAAGGTGCGCCTTTCAGACCTGACATGAACAAATAAATTAAAAAATGGTTGGGGCAAAGTGAGTATGACCTCACCATAACCCTTACCACATTTGAGGTTTATATGGTCAACCTGCTAATAATAGCAAATACAAGTGTAAAACGTGTCCTTTCCTGTTGCCAACAGGTGGCGCTGTGACTGTGAATGGATAATGAGAATGTCAGAGGGCAGGGAAGCAGGACCTGCTCTTTCATGGCGAAGCATCAATGTTCAGAGGGCCAACACTGACACGCCGTTTGACGAAAACTCACAATTTTCTCCGTAAGTCACTCTCAATGTCTTAAGGCTCACGTTGCATTTGAGGTTAATACGGTCAACCGGCTAATAACAGCACATTAAGCAGTAAAACTATTCTTTCCTGTTGCCAGCAGGTGGCGCTGTCTCTGTGAATGGATATTGGCACATGGATGTGATCAGGGCAGGACTGTGATCTAGCATGTAAATTATGAGGCAGATTGAAGCATGTACAGGGCTGCCAGACACGCTTCCTCTTTGATGGCGAATGATCACAACTCAGAGGGCCGCTATTGCCATGTTCTTAGACTTTTGCAGAGCATTTTTTAATAACTGTTAATCACCAAGCCCTGTTGCATGCACTGGCCAAATTTGAGGGGTGTAGGAGTTAACCCCTAGGCAGAGTTCACTCTTGAATATTACAAAAATCACAAAAAAATCACACAGTTAATTCAAAATGTCAGGTTTTCTGTTGGGTTTAGGGAATTGGTCTAAGAGACTTTTTTGTGCACGCTGACATGCTATACCTGTCTACTAAATTTCATAGCTGTAGGTGAAACATCCTGCGGGGGCGAATAGATAAATTGTGGCAGGGGGTGCTATAGAGCCATTTTGCCAGACGGGCACACATTGTCGTTTAGCCCATGGTGACGTGTGTGCCAATTTTGGTGAGTTTTTGGGCATTCTTAAGCTGTCAAAAAGTCCTTCCTGTGTCACAGCAAGGATGTGTCACCATGGCAATGGTATTGCATGAAAACGCAACAGCTTCCCACTGTGGCTTTGTCATGGTGAGTAGATTTAGCTGACCAATTTCAAGGATGATATCACAAAGTTTGTAGCAATGGTGTCTGCAAATGTAATGCCTCAAACTGCCTGTTACAAAAAGGGGCCGCCGAAGGCCTTGCTCCCATTTTTCAAGAGCTGAACTCAAAGATGTAAATCTTTTGCTATGTACAGAAAAGGCCTATTTCTCTCAAATATTGTTCACAAATTTGTCTGTTAGTGACCACTTCTCCTTTGCCAAGATAGTCCATTCACCTCACAGGTGTGGCATATCAAGATGCTGATTAGACAGCATGAATATTGCACAGGTGTGCCTTCGGCTGGAGGTCTGACGACAATTCCTGACATAGGAACGGATGAGTGCACGGTCATCTCGTGGGGTAGAATGACATTTCCTGCTGTGACCAGCTGACAGTTTGGTAGTACTATGTTCAGCCTGTTTTTTCTTGGTGTAATGAACGGCTGTCTTGAAGAGCTTCTGTCTGAGCTACCTGTCTCTCACGCATGCCAATTTCCAGCAGTGCCAAGATGGCTGCCTTCGTGGCTTCACATAATTCTTTTGTTTTAGGCATTATGTGAAAGCTGACAACTTTTGAGTTGTGCTACGGCTTGAATGTAAGCAGGAAAGCACTCTAGGCCTTTGTATGTGTTGGACATACAGTATTGTATAATCATTTTTTGTTGTGTTCATTGTATTCTTCAGGGGCTGCAAGGTGGCACAGTTGGTTAGCACTGTTGCCTCGCAGCAAGAAGGTTGCCGGTTTGCATCCCAGTTCTGCATGGATTTTACATGTTCTCCCTGTGCAGCATGGGTTCCTCCCACAAGTCCAAAAACATGTTGAGGTTAATTGGTGATTCTAAATTGTCCATAGGTGTGAATGTGAGAGTGCTTGGTTGTCTGTCTCTAAGTGTAGCCCTGTGATGGACTGATTAGCTGTCCAGGGTGTCCCCTGCCTTCGCCCTAAGTCAGCTTGGATAGGCTCCAGCCCCCCCTCGACCCTTGTGAGGATTAAGCGGTATAGATAATGAATGGATGTATTCTTCAGGCTATATACCTTTAGTGGTACAAGGTATTAAAATGAACAAGAAATTGAAGAAGACAAGAATGGTCTTATTATTTTTTCCATGACTGTATATATTTAAAAAAAAAAAAAGAGTACATCAGGACAGCAGGAAGCTGGTGATTGCACAGATGTAACTGATGCTGTAGGACAAGTGAAAATCAATAGGAAGCCTCATATTCACTGCAAAATGCCTTCAGAAGCTGATGTGTACGATATGAAAAATGAGGTTCATCTAAATCTTGTTTTAAAAGCTAAGTCAGAAATGTGATGATGTTGTCTTTGCTGGACTACAGCGGTGGTAAATTACAGTTAACTTTTCTGTCTTTTTCACAATAACATTATGTACAGTGTATTCATAGCCAGGCAGAACACCTTTCACTCTTTTTAAAGTAATTTGTGCTCTCTCTCTGAGTATCTGCGCTGCTCAGAAACTGCTCAGTACACATCTGGTTAGCTGGCTTCCGCTGTAGCCTGCATGTATTTGAAATATGAGCATTTCAGTTTGTCATTACCACACCCCCTCTTAAAAACCAAAATACTTTTAATGGGCAGTTAGGCAGACAATTATTTGAAAAATATAGAACCATCCCACTTTCTTTTCAAATGTTAAAGAGTTAAAGCTCTTTACTCTATAAGAAGAACCTGACATGATTCCCTGTAAACGCCAAATGAAAATGTACACTGCTAAATACTAGGTGTAACTGATAGACAGTGTATTATTTTCACATTTCTTTCAGACTTGGCATTTGAAATTGGTCACCATGTTGTTCTAGAATGCCTGACAAGGAAGCTGCGTCAAAAACTATGAAACATGCTAAGTTTACATCCAGCACCCAACCATGGAGATGTGTTCATTATTTACCTATCTTGGTATTTATCTAACCATGTATGTAGGACTTTAAACTTCCTGCCTCATATCTGCATCACCTAGCTTTCTCACAGGCTGCAAAGTTAATATAAAATTACCCATTTGTCTGACTGTCTGTTTGAAGCCACAGCTTTTTTTTTGTTTTGCTTTTTTTTGTCACAGCCTCAGCTGTAGTGCCGTACTTGAAACGTTCACAGGCCCAAGAACGATGCACTTTATCTCTGCTGTAACCACAAGTCGCTGTGCATTTCACCTTGCAACAAGTGTGGTTAACACTTTTTGGTTTAGTTTTATTTGATGATATGAAGTTTTAAAAGATCACATCAATGCAGCTAGAAATTCCTGTCCATTTTAACCAGCACTCAAAGAAGGTTATTCATACATTATTATAAGTCAAATCAGAATTTTATTCAACAGTTCGTTTACTGCCACACCAAGGCAGTGCTGTTTCTATTTGCATGTGTTCTATATTTGAACAAGATTTCTGTTCTGGGTTTGCTAGTTCATATCTTGCCTGTGCAGCTGCTGTAACTACACACCACAGTTAGTGCAGTTAGCATTCAGTAACTCCTTTTGCACCAGCTGTGTTAAAGAAAAGCTTGCCTGTTAATTATTATCTGTGTGGATCATGGGAAAGAAGCCGAAGTGTTATGTATTAGCCATTCATATATAAAGAAATACAAAGCATAGGTGCAATACTTACATGTGATTTTGTGAATATATTATCCCAAACATTCACAAAGCAGGAAATTTTACAGTTAAAGAAATATGCTTATGTGTGTTGTTTTTTTTTGACAAAACATGCAAACTACAGTATGCTTTTTGTACTGCCAGTCAATGTATGAATACAGTGATATCAGAAAACTGGCAATAGGCTATATAATGTAGGCTGATTGATTAGTTGGGCCCCAGACCTTTTTTGAAATATAAGTTCAGAAAAGAGTGGAAAAATGGTATCAACCGGTTTTATATGCACATCTCATCTTCAAAGCTGGGATGTTTTAGCCTCGTGTCAACGTACTGCTATGTCCTGCTGTGTGAAGTTTGCTCTGCTATGCTCTCTCACGTACTTGTGGTTGTTTGGAGTGTTGTTTACTGTTTTGGTATGAGTGTTTGAGTGTTTCACAGCTATACAGTTGAAACCAACCAGTTTGTTGAGTGCAAACACTCTTCACATTTATGTTTGTGCAAATTTTCACACACCTTGGTTTAGATGTGCCAGACATAGCACTACAAGTGAGTGCTTTGCAGTTGAGTGCTCTCATTGTTTGAGTTTGTCTCTTTCTTTGTGCACGGATGCATTTTGTTTTCTGTAGACATGCCGCTAGCTATGATGTCTGTATTATTTCCATGATAATGTTTTAGACAACGTCCAGGACTGTCCAGTCCTCTTTGTTTCATCCATTTCTCAGCAATCTGTTGCTCTTCCACGTTCTGTTGCCATTTCCCCCATACGCTTCTCTCAGGGTTGACAGTGATGCCTTCCAGTGACGTTACTGGACTGTCACTTCTCTTGAAACACCAGCCTTGAAGCAAAAACAGCAGAGAGGATCCAGTTTACAGGAACAGCAAAAAAGGTACATTACTGCCATGGTGCCTGAAGTAAAAAACAAAAAAACAACAAGGTGTTCATTTCTGTTGTGATATCATCAGAGATATTTACCTTTTCCTTGCCTGCTCCAAAGGGTCCCCCGAGTGATGACATCATCCAGGGGCTGCAATGAGGTCATCCAGCCAGGAAGAAAGTCCCAGTTCTGCAGTCTCAGTGGCAAAGAATCAGGTCTTTGCACCTGGAGGATGTTGACTATTACAACAGATATAATCACCATAATGACTGGTACACCAATCCCAGTCATCACCTTCCAGCCAGCCATGGAGAGAGCGAACACGAGGGACGGGAGTAGCAGAAAACAGAGGAGGAGGTACAAGACAGCAAACCAGCGGTACCTAAAAATGTGTGTGATATTGATCAGCTTTTTCTGTTTGTTGTGAAGTTTTACTACTTGTTACAATATTTTGATTTGCATTGCAATCAGCTACCATCTTGAGATATTATGCTGAGATTAATGTTTATCATACCTGGCAGTACAGTTGCCAAGAGCACAGGCCATACGTATGGGTAAGCGGGTGGCTGGTATAGGATACCACAGCAGGATACCAAGGAAGTTAAAGAAAAAATGACACAAAGCAACCTGAAATAAAAGAAGAGATGAGGTTGAAAGATGCTGGCAAGAGCGTGAGACAGAGAGAAAGCTAGAGAAGAACAATTTTAACAGGGAGAGATGTAAAAAGTATATATGACAAAGACGCAACAGAAGTTTTTACGTCGAAAAAATGCAACAAAAGAAGCTTCCTCACTTTCAGACAGATCCTGAAAGTGCAGCTTGAGGGTCATGACTGTGTATGTACCTGTGTGGCAGCAGCTAGCTTATCTCCTGGACTAGCTAGGGCTGCCAGTGTAGCTGTAGTTGTGGTTCCGAGGTTGGATCCAAGGGTTAAAGGGTAGGCTCTTTCAATACTGATCACCCCGATCCCTAAAGAGGGTCACAGTATGATAAACAGCAGGTACAATAGCTCTTAATCATTTAGGTAAAATACCCAGGTTTAGTTAATTTACTTTAAATCGCCCAACACTAAGAGATGACCACAAACTCAGTTAAACTTTAAAAGATCAACTTAAATACAGCACCTCAGTAACAGGTGTATGGTAAGGTCAGGATAGGACTTCAAAATGTTACTGGGTGACCAAGACAGAAGTTGTCCTTCAGGTTGAGTACAGACAAGTAGAGCTGATAGGACCTTTTTTTTCACAAACATTCCTGACTTTGATCTGTTACAGTCCTGTTAATGCTGTACCAAAGCAAGCAAGAAGGCTGCATGTAACTGAAAACACTGGTGGTGATTTTACCGTTGAAGCAGGTGGCAAAACAGATAAGAATGTTGATACAAATTTAAGTTACAAATAGCTTATTTCTTGTATAATCCTTTACCAAATTATGCAGTAGCTTACACATTGTTCAAGTACAGACATTTAGCAAACCACAAAGAGTTTGTAGATAGGGTAATTGTATGGTTTCATGTGGTTATTACCTATGAGTGGAGTGATGGCAGATGTGAAGACAGAACTACTCTGAACCAAAAAGGTCATGCCTGCTCCCACCAATACAGCCAGATAACCTGCCAGCCAGGTGAAAGGGTAGGGAAAGTCTACATGGCAGGGCAACACAGTAGGGAAGACAGATTTTAATATTTCTGAAATTAGCTATGACTGTGTGTGTCTACATATAGTTTGTTAGACTTGTGGCCACTTTAAAAAGTGAAGAATCAAGTAAATCTGGAAAACAATTTTTAGGTTAACATAAATGAAAAGCTCTGAGTTTAGATGGGATTCATTTGGCATTTGCACTTTGATATTTGTATATTACCTGTGTTAACAACATTGTTAATAGCACTGGCCACCTGGCCCTTCAGCAGAGAGTTGAGCAGTTTAACCAGCAGTATCAGGCAGCTACACAGGACCAACAGGGAACAGGCCAGGAGGACCAAACCTATGGCTAAGTCTGACAAAGAGCAGTCCACAAAGAGATGCCTACCTGAGCAGAGAGACAGAGATATGATTTCTTAACGATAACGACAAAAACTTAACGATACTGATGTACAGTGCAAATAAGAAACAAAATGTAACTACCAAGATATGAAAGAAAAAGAATGATCACGACTTTCTCAGAACTACTGACAAACTTCTAACATAGTCATTCGTTTAATTTGAAGTGTATGTTTGATGTTTTGTATGCTTGATTATTGATGCACAAGTCAGATTCAGTGATTGAAACACATAAGTAGAAGAAAAAATGTATGAAGGAGGAGGAGGAGGTTAGTTTTTCTATAGACAGCTAATGACAGAAATAGTTAAACTAAAAATTCCATACATTTCTGTGTTTGTTCTGAAAGGTTGTGTGTTCCCCAAGCTGTTTCATTGTCCTGTTAGCAACGATAAACGGGTACAGTGAGGCAAAGACATGAAGACAACTGCAAAATTTTCCTTTATTTTTAACTATTAAAAAATAGTTTAAATATATATCTAGTTCTGCACAATATACAGTGACAAGAAAAAAGTATGTAAACCCTCTGAAATATCCTAGTTTTTTGCATTAATTGTTCATAAAATGTGATCTGATCTACATCTAAGTCACAAGTACAGACAAACACAATGTGCTCAACATAATATCACACAAACAATTATAATATTTCGTGTTTTTATTGAACACATCCATTAAACACTCATAGTTCAGGTGTAAAAAAGTAAGTGAGCCCTTGGGCTAACGACTCCAGCAAGAGCTAATTGGAGTCATGTGTTAGCAAACCTGGAGTCCAATCAATGAAACGAGATTTGACTGAGATGCAGAGCTACTGTGACCTATAAAAAGCACTCAAACTTTTTGAGTTTGCTATCTACAAGAAGCATCTGCTGATGTGACCCATGCCTCGCAAAAAAGAGATCTCAGAAGACCTACGATCAAGAATTGTTGATTTGCACAAGACCGGAAGTGGCTACAAAGTCATCTCAAAGACTTTAGGAATTCACCAGTCCACAGTTAGACAAATTGTCTGTAAATGGAGACGATTCAGCACTGTGGCTACTCTCCCTAGAAGTTGGCACCTAGCCAAATGGACTCCCAAGGGCACAACGCAGAATGCTCAGCGAGGTAAAAAGAAATCCTAGAGTAACAGCTAAAAACTTGAAGGAATCATTGGAACTGGTTAACATCTCTGTTCATGAGTCTACCATACAAAAAAGATTGAACAGGCATGGACTCCATGGCAGGACACCACGGAGGAAGCCACTGCTTTCCAGAAAAAACATCACTGCAGTGATACACTGAAGTTTGCCAAAGAGCATCTTGACACTCCATAACGTTACTGGGAAAATGTTTTGTGGACTGATGAAACAAAAATTTAATTGTTTGGGAAGAACACGCAGCATTACATATGGCGTAGAAAAGGCACCGCATTTCAACATGAGAACATCATCCCAACGGTGAAATACGGTGGAGGGAGCATCATGACTTGGGGCTGCTTTGCTGCCTCAGGGTCTGGACCACTTGCCATCATCGTAGGGAAAATGAATTCTCAAGTTTATCAAGGTATCCTACAGGATAATGTCAGGGTGGCTGTCTGTCAGCTGAAGCTCGGTAGAAGTTGGGTGATGCAGCAGGACAATGATCCTAAACATAGAAGTAACTCTACAACAGAATGGCTTCAAAAAAATAAAATCCACCTTTTGGAGTGGCCCAGTCAGAGCCCAGACCTGAACCCAATAGAGATGTTGTGGAATGACCTGAAGAGAGCCGTTCACAGCAGACATCTGAAAAATATGGCTGAGCTGAAGCAGTTCTGTTTGGAAGAATGGTCTAAAATTCCTTCTGAACGTTGTGCAGGTCTGATCAGCAGCTTAGCGTAGTTGAGGTTGAAGTTACTGCTGCTAAAGGAGGTTCGACCAGTTATTAAATCCACATTTTCCACCAGCACTATGATTGTATAATGGATTTGTTCAATAAAAACATGAAAATACATTGAGCACATTGTGTTTGTCTGTACTTGTGAGTTAGATGTAGATCAGATCACATTTTATGAACAATTAATGCAGAAAACTAGGAAATTTCAGAGGGTTCACATACTTTTTCTTGTCACTGTATGAGCAGTTTCTAAATAGTTGAACAGAGACAGCATGATCTCCATAACCAACATGACCATTACATTTAAAAGAGTTGTATCTTTTTGCATGCTAAAAGTGTGACAAATTTTTTATTTGCAGTAAACGAGAAGAAACTAGCATTAATCTGTCATTGCCATAGAATAACAGTTTTGTACCAGTACCTTCAAGGTTGTGGTCTGACACCACTGCTTCACCAGAGTCTTGTTCCTCACGCTTTGGTCTCCTGTAGCGATGGCTGTAATGACTGACCGATCCAGCTACACGTAGACAATCACGTTATGTCATTATTATTACACCGGATTAGAGTTATATTCTACCGCCACCAGTTGTCCATAACTGAGAGGCTACACAATAAGTTTAGGAATGGACATATTACCTGCTGCTACCTCCTTTCTTTTTTGTTTGGTATCCAGCTTTTTAATTTAGGCTAAAGCAGTGTGTTCTTACCGTAAACTAGAACATGGTACATCTTTGTATTCCTTGATGAGGTGTTTTACCCAATTTCTGTGAAAGGTTTTTATAAAGGTGCACATGGCTACTTTTTAGTTTGAACTTTCTTGCTTAAGAGACCAAGCTCAATCAATTACATTGCTGTAGAATAACAAAAGAAAATTAGTTTAATGGCTAATCTTCTGATGTAAAATAATAATAGAAAACTTTTTTCTTCTAAATGAAGGATGTAATGTTCACTAAAGCTAATTATGTAGCTTATACAGTATAGGGTGCTATGGTATGTGTTACTCATGTCTCTTCCCCTAACTAAAGGCTTGAGGAACAATCACTAACACTGTACTATTGCCCAATCTGAGCAGCTGCTATATCCTGTAAAGCAAAGTCACAGCAAGCCTTTCAGAAACATCCAGGAGAGCCCTGTATACATAGCTGCGTGCACATCCACTGTCTCCTTTCAAAGTCTGCATTGTCATTGGCAAATTAAATTTGCTTTTGTATGTGTCTTGAATAGTAAAATATTTGTTTTCACGTGCTGAAGGAATTTTGCAGGCACAGTACCTGGATTATCATTTTAGTCAGTGGTTCAGTGATGACTTTAAGAAGTTCAGGAGCTTCATCTCCACTACTAAGTTGTAGTGTGTCGACTACAGCCTGTGACATTCGCATCAACAGCCCACTCGCAGCCTCCAGAGGGAGAAGCACCAAGACAGACAACCAGTTAAAGCAGTCGTGGACTGTAGCTCCAGCAAATGCCCTGGAATACAAACAGTTACCATTTATTAATTTATTTTAAAACAAACACAAATATAGACATACAAAACACATACACACAGCTATACCTCTCAAACTCCTCTCTCTCCCCAGCCTGCATTAGAGCAACAATGGTATTGGTGACGGATGTTCCAATGTTGGAGCCCATGATAATAGGAATGGCTGACCGCACATCCAGCACTGTACAGGAAGCCATAATTAAACAAAGTTTGAGATTTAAAATGTAGTAAATTGGATGACTTGGAGAGACGTAGTGGTCAATGGATTGCGTTTTGTCAAGTAATAGTGTTTAAAGATGCTATTAGTAAAAATATACTTTTGTTAATACTTTCAACTCACAACCAGAAGAAACAAGGCTGACTATAATGGAGGTAGAGGTGGAGGAGCTCTGAACTAAGACTGTCACCAGTATCCCCACCACCAGCCCTGCCACTGGGTTAGACAGGATAGCGTTCTCCTGGAAGATGTCCCCTGCTACCCTGCCTGAAGGGAGAAAGGAGGCCGGCCTTAAAATTTACCATCAAACTTGGCTTATACTATATATGGAACAATAAAAACAGTCACCTTCCTGTACTTACCTCCAGCAAGTTGGAAGGCAGAACTTAAAATGTCAAGGGAGCACACAAAGAAGTACAGAAGCAGAAACAGGAGGGGGATTTTGCAGACAGTAGATGCCACCATTTTGACTCGCTGTGGTTTCGACAGAGTTTCCATTGTCAGATCTTGGGCATGAGTTATGAATTAAAGTGGAAATAATTCTGGTTAGTGACTCTACGAATGGTACGGTAGCATGTAAATAAATAATAATATAAATAAATAATAATAGCAGTGGAAGTAAATCTGATTTATCATTTTGTAATTTACCAATTTAGACTACCACTACAAAAAACTCCCAAAACATTGCAGTAACAGGTTATAGCAATCTACATGAAACTAATGCAAGCTGAACAAATGCTATATATACCATCATCACAAAGTGGAAAGAGTTATACATTTACTTTACAACAAAACTGATCCAAATTTGCGATTACTGCTTGTGCAAGCACATACACCAGTTCATGCCTATAGTATTTTTTTTACACACCTTGAGTTTTGATGAAATGATGCCTCTGCTACAGAAAGTTAATGCTTTGAATAAAAAGATAAAGAATAAATAAAGAAGATTTTTAGTAAAAAGTGAAATTCAAATCTTTGTACATTAATTTTATATTATCAGAGTTAAACCAATACTCACAGAATGAGACGTATGATGAGAAAGAAGGAAGACCAGAATGGCAGAAAATGACAGGGAGGTGCTACTGTGCGGTGTAGATTAACTTTTAGTAAAGCATGGATGACTGGTGTAATGGACAGCTAAGACCTGCTCCTTCATTCTGTTTTTCTTCACGCCTTTATCTGTAAACTATCTGTTTCTGCAATTGTCTCAGTTTAAGATTCCCCTCTGAGAAATAAGGCTATTATGCAAATGAAAAACATATGGAAAATCCTTGAGGAATAAGTTGACATTTCTAACTGATCTTGCAATGTATAGTGGAAATGTGTCAAAAAGCACACTGCTCACAAATGAGCACTGCCACATGAATGTATTATAAAAAAAAATGCAGTCAACTGCATTACAGACAAATACAACAGCTACATCTAGTGGCAGACCATAGCGGATTTCATTTGAGGTTATTTAAGACATTACCACCACTTTGTCATACTGCATCCTAAAATTATGTACTTATGCATTAAAGAAATGTTTACTCTTTCCCATTTATGCCCCCTGCCTTCCCTAGCAATCATCTTCAATGATTTAGACTACCATTAATCTTTTATATTTTCTTTGCTGACAAGAGCTGACAATGGCTTTACATGGGCTTCAGAAGTCATTTGAGTCTGGAGTCTGCTTTCTGAGATTTTATCTTTTACCTTTTACCTCTTTTATCTGTAACTGGACAACCTGATTGACCCACCTGTTTAACAACAAAAAAAAAATCTGGAATAACTGGTTTCTTATGATTCTCAGAAGACACTACATGGCATTATATTCAGAAAGTCAGTCAGGGAAACGCTTTGCCTACGCTATTCAAGGACATAGGCGGTGCTTTTGGATATGTGCCACACTGTCTGCTTTGACTGCCTTTGAATGTTTCCATGTGCTTCTAAGGGGAGTTTTGAATACTGGTTTTAGTTAAGGATTTAATATACCCCAGTCTGAAGATTTATTATACTAGTTTTCCAGTTTTGCATCATAATAACTCAACAGCTTTGGGTTTTCAAATTCTGATCAGTCATCGAAAACAATGTGAGTTATTTGTCTGAGAAAAAAATATGTAGTTGGAGCCTCACAGTACTGATGGAACAGTGCGACCTTCCCTAGGGTTTTGTGTGTTGATTACGCTCAAGAGCAATTTGATACAACACAAATTCACAAGAAATAAAAACATGGACAAAATTCAAATGTAAACCATAAAGATTGTTGAACCACATTGGGAGTCTAGATGGAAGAGGCACGATCTGTCATTGCTGGCATTGAGTGGTGCGATTTTAATTTGATCAGATCAAGTAAGGACCAGTAATTAAGGAGTAAACCTGTCTGTTGAGGCCCCTGGGGCACTGGAACATTGCCCACTTTTGCTTTGGTAATCCAACCTTCACACAGATCTTCCTAGGTAGGCAGGTTTAAACAACTATTAGAAACAAGGAAAGAAAAGGCGGCAGGAGCCGGGATCGCTGTGTTCTAATGGGCGGAGTACCCTGTAGATCCCTGTAACTTTGTAAAACTACTTCTGCAGTGGGAACACATGCACAGAATGCAGTTGTAGGAGGACAGTGGGTAGAACAGGGTACTTAGAAAAGGAATATTTGACTATGAAGGATTATGACACCACTGTTGCTTTCTTGGGTCAGTGGGGACGTTTCCAGCAGATCGTCTTCCTCCTGCTCTGTTCCACCATTGTGCCCAATGGATTCGGTGCTTTTACCCTTATTTTCCTGACTGACGTACCGAGTCACCAATGCCTGGTATCTGACATCAACATTACAGAAGACTGGCGTAAAAGTATCATCCCAGTGAAGGTGAGTTACTGCCATAGCTCTTTTTGAGGAGATTTTGAGATATCATCTGTGGGGACTAACTTTCCTTCTTGTGAAGCAACACTAATAAAGCAACCAAACAAAAGAGAAACCCTGTTATTAATACACAATTTCATACAGAATTTTATGTGGTTCTTTAGTGAAATATTATATTCCAGTGACGTAACCTCAGATTTGGTGTGTTTGCGCTTTTCTGTTCAGGTTCTGTGCTACTGTATAACGTTAACTCCTGACGCTGTGCTGTTTAGTGGTTTAGCTGCATCGCAAGCCTATATGTGAAGGTTGTCATATTGTCCAAATCTCATTGCGTTCTTGCAGTATTACCACGTTTTTCTACGTAGTATGCCATCATAAATAATTAAAAGATCCGTAGATGTGGAAATATATACACTAATCAAAGTAATACTGTTTTCCTCATTGTGATTTTTAGGTGGTGAATGGGAAACAAGAACTGAGCAGATGTAGTAGATACAGGCTGGATGTGGTCCGAAATCTCTCTGCTCAGGGCTATGTTCCTGACAGGGATGTAAACCTCACTGACCTGGAGCAGGAGGGCTGTGTGGATGGGTGGAGCTACAGCAAAGACGTTTACCAGTCTACCATAGTGTCTGAGGTATGTTCAGTTTTTGTCTGCCTTTCCCTTTTCTGCATGTGTGTTTGGTTTGCGTCTTTTTTGGTTTGTGGTGGTGGCGTTGTAGGTGCCTCAGTGAAAACTGTCTGCCTCACAATCCGTGACTGTATTTCTTTTCTGCAGTTGAACTAAGGTAGGACATTTCCCTGCAGCATTTGGACGTGTCTAAAACTGTCAGTTTGTTCTGTGCTCAGTCTGTTCTGAACTCAGTCACTTTTTATTGCAGAGGAGTCATTAATTATCATGCCTGTGGAAAGAATTCCTTCACAAAGAAATGGGGACATGGTTATAGCTTTGCATTCCATGGTTTTCTTACGTACATTCTTGCGCTAAAGACTGAATAGCTCAAGGGACATGTTGAGTGTTGTTGATTTGATGATAGTGTCGCATGTCATCCATCGGCTTTGTTCGCTTTGGGTAAGTTGACAGTCTCATGTCTATACAGGGATTCACTTTCTACACCATATATGAGACACACCCTGCCTTTTTAATTTAGCCTGCTCTGCAACTCCAGTCTGGCGAGTTTTCGTTGCCTTATTTGTTGTCGGTTACATCATGCATGTTTGTGTGGGTTTAACAAATTAAAGTGCTAAAATGTAGTCTTAGTGATGCATGTTGGTTCACAGTTAGACACTGCAGTTTGCCTGTTTGATTCTCGTAGTTTTAGAGTGAATACTTACACCATGTAAGACATACAGAATAACACAAAAGAAGTCCCAGTATTTTCAATGTAGTCTCACATTTGTAGAATGATGCAAACATCACATGATTCAATTAGGGGCTTAAACTAAAAAATGTGCGAGGTATAAATATTGCTTTTTTTCTGTATAATGATGTTTAAAACCTAATATTTTGTTTTAGAGCTCCTTTAGCAGTAATGGAGAATTCTCTCTTTTAGTTTAAAGGTGCCTGTTTCAATATCATGCATCAGACCACCATGCAGACTTGGCTTTCCGTTGTACTGTAGGTTAGTTTGTAAAGCAGGTATGATGATGTATGTGGTATTGGTATATAAGCAAAGAGCCTGCACATCCCAGATACATTTAGGTAATGTATTAATGCTGAGACAATGCTGGTTTTGGTTATTTTATGGGACAATGAAAAGAAAAGAAACCTTCATTAGCCTCTTCAATTATTATTAAAGCAGATATGCCTGAAGAGAAAGGACACTTGAACAAAACCAGCAACGGAGCGCACATATCAATTGCATTAAATCAGTAGCAAAAACATGGATATTTTCTCGTCCTCATATTTCGTACTTTAACAGTTAATGTATGCCTTTTCCAGTTTGACCTGGTGTGCAGTGAGCAATGGAAGCAGCCGTTTACCACCTTAATTTTCTTCGTGGGAGTTTTTTTTGGATCGTTCTTCTCAGGACAGCTGTCCGACAGGTACGGAAAAAACACACATGCATACAGTTTTTAAAAAAGATGTTAATTTGGTGCTTGCAGCATGATTTTGGACAGAATAAAGCATATTCTTTAATGAAGAAAATGGTAAGCTATGTACAGTGTATACTTATATGATAAAATACTACTACTACTCTTTTATTGACATGTTGACTTAACATTTTACAGTTTAGAGCACCAACTAGGTTGCCTTTTGTGGTGTTGTGCCTATTTCTTGTGCAGATTATGTATTTGAGGTTATTGTACATAGTCCTGCATAATGTATGCATTTCTGTCTTCACCAAACAATGCAACACACAGTAAGTAGTATAGTTTTCGACAGACTATTAATATAACATGCATACATTTAGAGACCAATATTGGCTCACTGTCTCACATTAAATCAGACTAAAACTTTTCCTGTTTTAGGTTTGTTAGGATTACCAAAATTATTTCTATTTGCTAAATGCCAGAATAATGAGAGAGAGAATTGTTTTTAGAGAAATGGTATTACTTACTTCAAAGTCAGAAGTTTACATCCACTTAGATTACTATGCCTACTACAGTCATGACTCGATAATCTGACCCTTAACAGTCTGAAAACCGAGCTATCAGACAGATTTTAGGAAAAACAAACAGCACCCATGAAAAATAGCCTTAACATACCAACAGCTTTGGATTCCAACTCCGACATGACATTTTATGTCACAAATAAGGATATCGGCGTCTTATCTGACTTAACAATCCGACAGATTGGCTACGTTCAGACTGCAGGACTTCATGCCCAATTTGGATTTTTTTTGTGAAAGCCGTTTTTTTTTTTTTTTTTTAATTGGAGGATGGATATAGTCATTTGTGGATGTATTTTAAGGCACACCTCAAGCACACTGCTTCCTTTTGTGACAACATGGAAAATCTAAAGACATCAGCCAAGATATCAGGAAGAGAACTGTGGACCTCCACAAGTCTGGTTCATTCTTGGGTGCAATTTCCAGATGCCTGAAGGTTCCATGTTCACCTGTTCAAACAATGAAACACCATGAGAATGTCCAGCCATCATACTGCTCAGAAAGGAGACGGGTTCTGTGTCCCAGAGATGAAGTGTTTTGGTATGAAATGTGTGTATCAACCGCGGAACAAAGCAAAAGACCTTGTGAAGATGCTGCTGAAGCTGGTAAGAGAGTGTCATTATCCACAGTGAAACCAGTCCTGTACCGACACAGGCTGAAAGACTACTCAGAGAGGAAGAAGACATTACTCCACAAGCAACATAAACATGAACAGATTGCAGTTTACAAATGAACACAGGGACAAAGACCTTCATTATTCTGGCATTTACAAATGGAAATAATTTTGGTAATCCTAGCTGACCTAAAACAGGGAAAGTTTTAGTCTGATTTAATGTCAGGCAGTGAGGGGGAAAAAGAGCTTCTGTCTTTTTACACAGTGTATTTAAACTTCTGGTTTCAACTGCATGCATTAAGCACATTTACTGATCAGCTCTCCAGTCCTTAAATTGTAATATATATTGTTTTCTTCTAATTTGTATTTACTTTGCTTAATGTCTTATCTTCTCTCTGTAGATATGGAAGGAAACCTGTTCTTTTTGCAACCATGGCAGTGCAAACAATTTTTACCTTTGCTCAAGCCTTTTCGACTTCGTGGATTATGTTTATCATCTTACTCTTCATCAACGGTTTATCACAGATAAACTATCTAGCTGCTTTAGTGCTGGGTACGGTTGCATATTTTATCCTAAAATTACTACCATAATACACATTTACACTCTTTATGATTTTTTTTTAGTAAGTGTATATATAAAAAATACCAAATAACCAAACAAACCTGTATGTATCTGTTATTTCTTCCTATTTGCAGGCGCTGAGGTTTTGACTGGAAATGTACGCGTCTTTTACGCATCCTTGGGTTCATGTTTAGCCTTTGCCATTGGCTACATGATTCTCCCTCTGCTGGCTTACTTTATAAGGAACTGGAAATATCTCTTGTATGCTTTGTCTGTGCCTAGTGTGGTCTATATCCCCCTCTGGTGGTAGGTTGCACTCACCACAAGACAGTCTCTAGTGTATCAACATTGCGTATAATTTTTTGTCTTTCTCCAGGGAATACTTTGTTCAGCTGTCAAAATGAAAGACAACTGTAAAACTGGCAACAGACTTATCTCTCTCAGGAAAAAAAAAACATCATTCATGACCAAATCTCACCTCTTTGAGCAGCATTTTATTACCAATTTTACAATTTAAAGTGCAGTCACATACCAGTTAAAAACCCAGACACGAATGCAGACAGTACTTTCTAGAACTATCTTGTCTTAGCTTTCAGATCAAACCAATTTTAGCAAATCAATGCTATATTTGTTTTACATCTTTTCACCCTCTATTGAGACAGCTTTTTTATTTTTTTTTTAATTGTTCAATATTGAACTTAATAGACTGCTGATAAATCAGCATTGAAGTGTAACAGATGTTAAGATTTACCTGATTTTTGACCCGAGCATTTTTTGAAAAAATACACATTGTGGTAATTTTTCATAATTAAGCTGTTTCTTATAAGAGAGGTATTAGAACCCTTGTTCACTGTCTTTGTTGTTTTTGTCTTCTAAGTCCTTTCTGTCTCTGTGTTGAATAATGAGTTAGGTTTCTCCCAGAGTCTCCTCGGTGGTTGGTTTCTCAAAGAAGAGTGGAGGAGGCTGAGGCCATAGTGAGAAAGGCTGCTAGGTGGAACAAAGTTCAAGCTCCAACGGTCATCTTTGAAGATTGCAATGTAAGACTTTTACTTAAATCATACATGACTAAACAGAAGAGCTTAAGACATACTTTGAGGTATGAGCGTATGGATGTTCTTTACGATTATTGTTAATTATCAGTTCCATCTGTCTCCCTCTCTCTGTGTGTGTGTTTGTGAACAGTCTCTAGCTCGAGTGTTAAGATCTAAAAAGTTGATATTTTACAGGTGAGCTAGAAATGGCCTTTTCTTGGAATGATTAGATTATGGCGTCAAACAGTTCAAAAATAACTTCTCTGGAGGCCACAGGTCACTTTTTAAAAGTGCCGTATCATGGCCAGCAGGGGCAACTATATCCCTCTACTGAGGGCTAGTTTTTTTTTTAACTTCTCAAAAGGAAAGTTTTAGAAAATGTAGTGAACTTTTTTTTTTTTTTTGAAAAGGAGCCTCCCTGTAAATTCTGTTAATGCAGATACTTGCTGTTGACCTGCACGACAAAGTAATATTTTATTTCTAGAGGTTACTTGAAATAATGTAGTTTTGCAAAAGCCAGTTCCTGTAATTTTGTCTGTTACCATTCACACAAAATACATTAACCTTGTCATTTGAATTCTATGAAAATACAGATAAACTGAACACAGTAAAATACTGAATACTGAGCACAATTAGCACCCTCTACACAGAATGCATTTCTTTTTTAAAAATAATTTACATTGAATACTAAACTGGAGCACTGCAAATAGTTATGCACTTCCAGTTGCGTGCAGTGCCTACGACGGTAAAATATAATATTAAAATGTGAAACTTAGGAGGTTCAATACACTGAAATAATAATATTTAAGGGGTTTTGTGTCCATCCATCCATTATCTATACATCGCTTAATCCTCACTAGGGTTGTGGGGGGCTGGAGCCTATCCCAGCTGACTTAGGGTGAAGGCAGGGGACACCCTGGACAGGTCGGGGGTTTTGTGTAATATACCAATTAATAGGCTGTTTTTTTGACTGTATGTTTTTCCAGCACGGTTCCTACTTGTTTCTGTTGAAGTATATGTGTGTTTTAAATTGCGTATTTGACTTCTTTTTTTTTTTTTAAATAACTATAAAATTCATAAATATATTAAGTTAAAAACATAGACTTTTACAAATGAACCCTGCATATCACAAACTGAGAACATATCACATCTTTCAGAAAAATATTGCATGTACAGATTTGTATGTATCTCTGAGAAAGATTTATTTGTACTTTCTTTTTTTTTTTTTTAACAACTCCACTCTACTAGGCTACTGATAAAGGACACAACAAACACCAGGTGAGACTGAGGTTTTTGTGTCTTGCAGGTAAACAAAGCAGAGACACACTTGAAGGAACAATACACTGTCCTGGATCTGCTGAGGCAGAGCAGCATCAGAACCACAACACTCATCCTCTGCTTGGTGTCGTGAGTAAACAACCTTTGATTATCTTAAACTACCAGTCAGACTCTCTAGGTTGTTAACAGTTGCCAAGTTAGTTGAGACAGCTCAACCCACAGCAACCTAGAGACAAACACGCGGGTGGCTAAAAACAATTAAATGGAGTGAAGGCCATCAATAAATGTTGCATTTACAGTAATAAATTACAAACAAAATTGCCTGCACGTGTTTGCAGTTAGGGCTGCAGGGTGGCGCAGTTGCCTCGCAGCAAGAAGGTTGCCGGTTCACATCCCGGTGGGGGCACCGGAATCTTTCTGCATGGAGTTTGCATGTTCTCCCCGTGCAGCGTGGGTTCTCTCCGGGTTCTCTGGCTTCCTCCCACACAGTCCAAAAACATGTTGAGGTTAATTGGTGATTCTAAATTGTCCGTAGGTGTGAATGTGAGTGTGCTTGGTTGTCTGTCTCTAAGTGTAGCCCTGTGACAGACTGGCGACCTGTCCAGGGTGTCCCCTGCCTTCACCCTAAGTCAGCTGGGATAGGCTCCAGCCCCCCCGCGACCCTAGTGAGGATTAAGCGGTATATAGATAATGGATGGATGGATGTTTGCAGTTACCGAGGGTGTCATGAAATGCAATTTTTATGCAGTTGTCTAATCAAAATTAAATTCAAGCATCGCTGTCATTTGTGTTTTTGATTTTGTCAGGTTCACTGTTTGCGCAGGCTACTATAGTCTGTCCTTCAATACAGCCCAGCTCCATGCTGACCCCTACATCAGCTGTCTTCTCTCAGCAATCGTGGAGGTTCCAGCATACATTTCCAGCTGGGTGGCTTTGCGATACTTTCCACGGCGGCTGTCTGTAATTGGTTGCTTCCTGCTTGGAGCAGTGCCACTGTACTTTATTCAACTGGTGCCAGAAGGTAAGCAGAAAAAATATGAGGGATGTTTCTGTACCTCTGCTTTCATTTCCCAGAAACCTTATATGTACAAAGTCTAATGCAAATTTAGTGCCAACAAAGTGATCGTCCATGTAGTGAAATTCAGAGACACTGTTTAGAGTGTGTCTGATTTAGTTCTTCGGAAATAAGTTCCTCATAAAAATGGCATTATTCACCACCAAGTACAGTGGTATTTGATACAAGGTCTTGGGTGGAACTCTTATATTCAAAAAACACTCATATCAGTTTGATAATTTCTTAATTGTTTCAATGGGAATTCACAATACACCTGCAACAATTAATGCATGGAATCATCAGTCATGAATGATGCCTTGCTTAAGCATCTGTTCTGTGACCTAAAGTGTTACTAGAGGGGAAGCAGGATTCACATACCCTGGCATTACTCTTGTACATACAATAAAACAATTGCTACTGAGTTTGAGTTTGTATTGTTTCTGTTCTATTGTATTTAGTACAAAACTGACTAAATAATGTATTATTTTTTAGATCTATCAAATCTGTCTCTTACACTGGAGTTGGTGGGCAAATATGCTTTTACAACTGGTTCCTCCCTGATGTTTGCCTACGTCGCAGAGCTTTACCCAACAGCACTAAGGAACACAGCGACAGGGATATGCATGGCTGTTTCCAGAGTGGGAAGTTGCATTTCCCCTTTTGTGTTAAATTTGAGTGAGTAAATTGGGTCTCGGTAATCATTTTTAACATTTGGTTTTGATATTGTTTGTTAATCTGCTCTACGTACACGTTCACAAGTGTTGTACCTGATTTGAAGCGCATACCTTAATTCACATTTACTGTAAATACACACTTATATAAGTCTCTTATCTAAACTTCCTCTTTTCCTTTTTTTTAGGTATATATTTTAAGTACTTGCCTTATATTATTTTGGGAACGATGGCTGTTATGTCTGCCTTTGCCACTCTGTTCCTTCCGGAGAGTTTTAAACAACCGCTACCTGAAACTATCCAACAAATGGAAGAAAGAGAAAGGTATGCTGCTTGAGAAATCACCTTTTTATGTACTTTGTCATGTTCCAAACTCAGTGTGCTATGCTAGCTTTTATTTACTGCAGTGTATCTAGGAAGTGACTAATTTAATTGACATTTTAGTGCAATCTTAAGTTTACCTTCTTTTACACTACTGAAAGCTTTCCATTTGGTTTCTTTTGTGCACCACCTCACACAATATCTTATTACTGAGCATTTTTCACTGATTCCACACAGTGTGTCATAATGCATGTTCAGTCAAGTCCAGTTCATGGATATTAATTTCATATATTTACAGTGTGTCCCAATACTTCGATGTTTAAATTAATGGGGTTAAGTTGACAAATTTATTTTCTATCTTAATACATCAGAAAAAAAAAAAAGAATACCCACAAATGTGTAATTTAATTTTAAAACAGTGCAAGAAACTTGAATTTTTTTTATGTTTCTTGGTCCATCATGTCTTTTATGTTCCGCCACTGCCGTACACAGTAGACAGGACAGTGTGTGATCATGCTGGTGTCTTTTACTCCAAAGACGTATTCTTTAGAACATAAAATACATACAGTAGTAGAAACATTATACTTACATTACAAGCAAGTATAAGTGACATTTAGGTGACATGGCGTAAATAATCTGATTAGACCTTTGAGAACCTCTCCGCACAAGTTTACATATTAATAGAAGATTGCTAATTTCTCAAAAAAATACAAAAATAGGTGTAACCTGTTTTTTTCATGGGACTAAAACAACTACACAGATAAATATATATTTAAAATCTCAGAAACTGTATGAAATAGATGTCCTGATTAGATTTAAGTGTTTACCTTGCTTCATAAATGGTAAAACTGCTTTTTTTCCTTTTTATTAAAAGTCTATCAGTCTTTTTGATGACAACCTAAAAGTACTGTGAACCTCCATGTGTTTCTGTCTTGGCAAAACAATCCAAGTACTTCGTGTTTCAACTTGTTTTTATTTGCAACATTAATTTTTACTGGTAGGCTCCAGACGTACAGTCAACATTTTATAATACATCAAATGACATTTTGGAAGGAGTTACTTAGAGCTCATAACTGCTTATTTTCTAAATAAGCATGTTCACTAACAAATTACATCTCTTAAAAAAGTTATGTTCACAACTTATAATCTGCTGCCCCCAAGTGGTCAAACATTCTATGGCAGGTTGAAGGATTATTTTAAAACCATCACTACTTAATGTACTGCAAGTGGTTAACAGTGTTACCATACATCATTAACGTACTGATTTTAATTGCAGACCTTGAACTCTTGTGTTGTTGTCTTAACCCCTACTTAAATTTGTTCTCACGATGTTAGTAAATGTATTTGCTTGTGATGATTGTAAGGTAATAGTAACTATTTTAAATATACACTAGCTTGCCACGCATTGCACACAGAACACTAAAACCAATGTTTTGTTTACCTGTTCATTTTATCTCCTCATAACAGGATAAAATGTCCATGCACCACTAGAAATAAGACTCCACCACCTGTGGTGTTGGACAGTCCAAGGTGGCCCAGCACCAATCACGTTCTTTGAGGCACCTTCCTGCCAAGTCTGTGACGGCTTAGGGCTGTCCCACTGTCAAATCATCAAGTTTATGGTGTGGTCTTTTCAACACAATTATCGATCCTCTCTGTGAGTCTGTATGTCTGCAGGCTTTCCTAAGCCCCTCACATAATGTACCCATGGATGGTGCAAGGAAGAAGTCAACCAGAAAGAATAACTGTAAGTGACAGCATCTGATGTGGTCATTTATTGCACATTTTTAGAGTTGTTTGTACTTTCAGTCAAATGTAGGATCTACAGGTGTTCATGGATTTTCTGTCTTTGGGTTGTTTGCTATGCTGTATAAACACTGTCACAAACAGGGAGGGATTATCTGAGCAGCTGGTCAGCTACGAATGAGACAAGATTCTGTTTACAGTTCTTAATGTTTGAATTATTCTTATTTTGTTTTTATTAGGTTATTTAAGGTGTTTTTTATTATTTAAGGTTTTTTTTTTTAGTTTTACATTTGAGCGATTTGTTTTTGTCTCATTTATGCATTTATATATCGATTTGTGTCATTAATTGTTTGTAAGGAATGTTTTTAAGAGGCTTGCAAATCTCTCATTGATGAAAACCATGTAACAAATGTTTATATTCCATAGATTAAATATATAACTCCTTTCATAAATACATTTGAATCTCATGTGTGCATTCATATACAGTACAATATGTTGTTTTTAATGTAAAAACACAAATACTTAGATGGCTGTTAATAAATGTTTCAGTAGTCAAGCAAAAGTTGCAAGGTTTGTGTATTTGTTGGGAGCTTAACACTAGTTACCGGTCAAAGAATGTCTATCAGCATCTACCTTTTAATCAATAACTGGACAATGACAATAAAAAGCAGAATTTGGCTCAAGAACCTATAACACAGCGTGTTACATAAAAGCCCTGCAGAGTTTCTGGAGTCTTCCGCGAGTGTCAGAGGTTTGTTGAAGAATGTAAACCTCCTGCTTAACTTTTTCTTTAAAGACAGACCCTTCTGTTTTTTTTCTTTTGCAGTAGAAAAAGTAGTTTTCTACAGGATAAACCCCGGAAAGCAGTTTGTTTTCTGAGACTATGCAGGATTATGACGATGCCACTGCATTCCTGGGCCACTGGGGGTGTTTCCAGCAGAGCGTCTTCTTTCTACTCAGTGCCAGCATCATACCAAACGGATTGGCAGCTTTTTCTCTCGTCTTCCTGACTGACATTCCCGGTCACCACTGCCTGGTTCCTGCGGTTAACTTGACCCAAGATTGGTACGAAGCTATCATCCCAGTACAGGTAATTAAGTTTAGTACCTTCATAAAGATAAGAGTTGTATGATTGTCTTATTGCTTTTTGTTTGACCAGCAGTCATAACACCAACACAGCTGAGTCAAACAAGAAATCGCAACCTTACTAAGCACTAACAATAGAACTACATGTGTTATTATACGTGGACTTGGTACTCTAAATTATTTCCACAGTATTGCTATGGTTGCATATTTTCTATTTGCTGTGGTACATGTCTGTAATATACAGTAATTCCCCACTCCCTGCCTGCCCCCAGAGCCACGTTAGGAAAGAACACTTTGCCAACTTAATGAATATTTTGCTTCAGGTTTGTACAACAGTCAGTGGTACAGGAAACGCTCCGTAAACAGAGAAAAGAATGGTTTGCACTAAACATCAATAAATGTTATGCATACGGTGAGAAAAGTGAAACTGAAAAGAGGCTGGATTCTACAGTAAGACAGTGATCCAAGTCATACCTCACAATCTATGATGAACTACTTCAGGAAGCATAAAGTGAAGCTTTTGAAACAGCTCCCTGACAGCCACCTGATATTGTGGCTTTAATGTTTTGAGGACCAAATTTGTTTCCGTCTCCTGACAGGCTGCTAATGTATTATTTATAAAGCCACATGTCGGTTGTAAATTGCATTGAAGAGTACAGGTGTTTTAAGGTCACGGGTACCTTATCTTGAAGTACCTGGTTGCATGTGAGTTTTAACCTGTGTCCTTACGAAGCATAGCATCATACACAATACAATGATACGTTTACAGAAAAAGAAATGTCGCTGTTGACACTAAGTCTGGTACTGTGACTCCAAAGGTGGTGAATGGGAAACAGGAGCAGAGCAGATGCAGCAGATACCGGCTGGATGTGGTCAGAAATCTCTCTGCTCAGGGTTTTATTCCTGGCAGGGATGTAAACCTCACTGACCTGCAGCAGGAGGGTTGTGTGGATGGATGGAGCTACAGCAAAGACCTCTACCAATCTACCATCGTGTCTGAAGTGAGTGTGATCCTAGTTTGAGCTGTCGTGTAGAAGTATCACCCAGGGCTGATCACTGCAGCATTACATTTATCATTGACTCAATACAGTTTAAGCAGCGCTAACCGTCAAATGATCATAACATAGACACGGGGTCCCTCTGTTCAATGTATTTATTTGTCTAATTGTTCGTGCATGGATGTTCCAGTTTGACTTGGTGTGCGGTGAGCAGTGGAAGCAGCCGTTCACATCCACAGTGTACTTCCTTGGAGTTTTAGCTGGATCCTTCATTTCAGGACAGCTGTCAGACAGGTGATGCTAAAAAAAAAAAAAAAAAAAAAAAAGCTTTGACTTTTAATTATATTTTCATTTAAACTTCGTTAAGATGTCTTTCAAAATTTTTAGACATGTCCCTCAAGATGTCCTTGCTCTACTTTTGCCTTAAACCATTGCTTGTAATTAAGTTAGCTTTCTATGTTTAATTTCTGTACTGTAAATTGTGTTTCTCTGACAGATGTGAAGCTTCCTTTTTAGAGTACATGAGAGGCATTTTTGTCCATATTGGGTTACTTTTATTGTCATGTCTGAACCCAAGACGTATACAGCAGATGAAAAATGCATTCTAATAATTAGTTTATGTTCTTTGTGCTTATGTCCATTCATGTCTTGTTTTTTTAAATTTGCTTTCATTTTACTATTTGTTTTTTTTTACTCTAGATTTGGAAGAAAACCTGTTCTGTTTGCAACCATGGCAATTCAAACGGTTTTTAGTTTTGTTGAAATCTTCTCACCATCTTGGATAGTGTTATCCATCCTCATTTTCATCAGCGGTTTGGGACAAATCTCCAACTATGTATCTGCTTTTGTACTCGGTAAATGAGAGCATTTCTTGCTGTAGATGCTACAACATAACTTACAATTTGCCTCTGCATTTCGTTTCTCTGAATTTTTGTCTCTCTTTTTGTCCAGGCACTGAAATCTTGGCTGGCAATGTGCGTGTCCTGTTCTCATCTCTCGGTGTATGTATGGGCTTTGCCTTGGGCTACATGATGCTGCCTCTTTTTGCTTACTTTTTAAGGGACTGGAAATCCCTCCTGCTGGCTTTGTCTGCGCCTGGCCTTCTGTACCTGCCTGCCTGGTGGTAGGTTGTAGTCATTAAAACATAATGTTTTCATGTTCAGCTTAACTTGTACCACAACCTCTTGCCACAGATTCATAACAACACTTTGGTCAACACTGAACCACACTGAATCTTTTTGTTGTTGAAAACTGTGACAGGCTCATCCCAGAGTCTCCTCGATGGCTGCTCGCTCAGGGGAGAGTGGAAGAAGCCGAGGCCATATTGAGAAATGCTGCTAAGAAGAACAAAGTCGAGGCTCCGCAGGTCATCTTTGAGGATTACAATCATGCAGAACCAGAGACGGCAGCCAAGGTGTGTGAGAAACACACATTTTTCTTGTAGTTTGCTCAGAAATATAACCTAATAGCTATCAAAATATTTCACTATTACCGTATTTGGGAATATCACATCCAATAGGATCTATCCTCTGTGCACCAAACTCACATTGCCATCCTGCTGCTGACAATGAGGTTTTGTATCTTGCAGGCTGACAAGACACAAGCTCAGGAGCATTACAATGTTTTCCACCTGCTGAGCACCAGCAACATCAGAAACACAACTGTCACTCTGAGCCTGGTGTGGTGAGTATCCACTTGGAGCAGTTTAATCAGTTAGATTTTTGACATTATCAGCTGCAGCTAATTTACTGACTTCCCACAACTGGTCAGAGGGCTGTAAGTGACCACTGAGTGAAGAGCATCGGTGTCTTTCTCGACACTAATTTAAGTCAGTCTAATACAACACCACCGCCACACACTCCTGCCTCAAAATCACTAGACAGTTGGCGACATGTGTCAGCCAAGGCAAGAACTCATGTGGAAACTGGAAGTTTAAATGCTGGTTGTGCATTCAGTGAATACAACAGGCATTATTCGTGGTTGGGAAGCAAATGAAGGACTTGTGTTCTTTTCACTGCATTCCCAGTTCCTACTAGTTGATCACAAACCTCCCTGCGAGGCTCCTTATGGTTAATTCAAAACAATCAATTGAGAAGTGTTGGTCAGTAATGCATTACTATCCAATACATTGCAGTAATACATTGCTTTGTAAGGTAATGTTTGTTGGTTTGTGTTTCCAGGTTCACTCTTAGTACTGGCTACTTTGGTCTGTCCCTCAACACATCCCGACTTCATGCTAACCCTTATATCAGCTGTTTCGTCTCAGCAGCTGTAGAGGTACCAGCATATGTTACCAGCTGGCTGGCTCTGCGAAACCTTCCACGCCAACTTTCCGTCATTTGCATTTTGCTCCTTGGAGGAGTGTCACTGTATCTCATTCAACTGGTGCCAGAAGGTTAGCAGAAAACATGTTTGAAATTATGAGAGTCTGCAGAAGTCTCACTGAAAAGTGAGAATAATCTCAGATAATCGCAATAGAAGTTTGTCATACAAGGTGCCCCATGATGCATTTGCACCAAATCAGCACATGCTTCAGATGACATTTTTTACGTACAGGATGGCGATTAAAAAAAACATGCACATCTCTACATATTAAATATTTCATACCAGAAATATTAAGAAAGACTAAGAAAAGGGAGAAAAGTGTTTCTTAAATATAGGAAGTGGCTTCCAAAAGTCAAAACAGAGATTTAAAAAGCAAACCCAAACTCTCAGTTACATGCAGTTAATCTTCTACACAGAGAATAATACACAAATAGACTGTGTGTTTCTATTTTGTTCTTCAACAAACCACTTCTTTTCTTCCAGGTTTATCATATTTGTCTATTGCCCTGGAGATGCTGGGTAAATATGGTCTTACTACTGGTACAGCCCTGGTATATGTCTACACAGCTGAGCTTTACCCAACAGTGCTCAGGAACACAGCAACTGGAGTATGTGCTACTCTGTCGAGAGTGGGAAGCTGTATTGCACCTTTTTTGTTTCAGCTGAGTGAGTAAACTAATAAAACAATTACTGCCATTTTTCAAATGTGGATTTAATTTAGCACAACAGATATGTTAGTGAGTAAGAATCTGATGTTGAAGTCACATGCTGTACCCTATACACAGACAGATCTTTCTCATGTCCTGATTTCTCCCTGTACTTGTACAGGTGTGTACTTTAAGTACCTGCCTCATATCATACTGGGGACTCTGGCTGTTGTGTCTGCTTTTTCCGCTTTCTTCCTACCAGAAAGTTTTGGACGGCCTCTGCCTCAAACTATTCAGCAGATGCATAAGAGAGACGGGTGAGATGCTTAGGGAATGCATATATTGTCTCATGCTTGTTCTATGTTCATCTCTAAATGATATACAACAACAAATGATTTATTGATGTTTTTAAAGCCCTCGTGCGTGGATTTTAAACCTTTTTGACAGGCAGCTTCTAGAGGCAGTCAAAAAAGACTGACTCGTAAATGGACTGTATTATAGCCATGTTCACCACTAAAAAGTCTGTCATTATTCAGTTGTCAAGGCCTAGATGGAAAATTTAGATGTAGTATAGGTAGTACATGTTTACCACTGGAGTTCCACTTAGAAAGCCCTTTTAAATTCCATGTTCTAACAGATTAACAGGCTTTTTCAATCAACACATGGGAAGGAGAGATGGAGAGAAACGGGGCAGTGGAAATGTAAAGGACTAAAAATCTGGCACATGCTATCTAAATATGTTAACGAGCTAAATATCACAATCCAAGAGAACTAAGTTGCTGTTTAAGAGTTATGAAACTTCCATGTTCAATCAACTTAATGTAATTTAGAGTTTGTGTTCCAGTTGATGCTGTCCACATGAGCAGTTAAAGTCACCATGGCTGAACAGTTAGATTATTGTACTTAAGCCGTCCATTTCTGCTGAAAACCACATTTAAAAAAATAATTTAAAAAATGCAATTTTGGTGTTTGCTTGATTCTCGGTATTAAGACAAGACAATAGCAACATAAACAGCAACTCAACAGAAAAGGACAATGTATTCCTTTAATATAAACAACCCCGTCATGATGCAGAGGGTTGTAATAATGGCAACAAGTCTTTGCAGTGAACATACCATGATAATACTCAAGTTGGTAGCAGTAAAAAAGAATGAAGTAATTTTAGCTTTTGTAGTTCTACTTTCTGCAGAACACTAAACCAAATAACATTTTCATTTGTTGTTTTTGTCCCAACAGCATGAAGTGTCCATTCATCCCTAGGAAAGAACATTCAAAACCTGTGGTGCTTCACGAAAGTCAACTCTGATTGTTTGGTATATTAGAAGAATCAAAGTATAAATTATTTGTATTTAAATATATGATTTTGTGGACAATTACCTTGTCTGTTTCATTAAGACAGCAACATTGACATATACAAAGCATTACAAGAAGTGGTTGTTAGAGGACTGTTACAGTTCACAGGACTTCTACTTGGCATGTCACTCTGTGTGTGTTATTTTGAATTACAAACTGAACAGTGAAAAGTACATATTAAATCTGAAGCAAAAGCTAGAGGTGTATTATAAAACACTAAACAAGACGAGGCTACTGGCTCTGATTTACCTGGTATCATAATATTAGAGACTTTCCTCTATGCATTGGTACTGTTTTTACACAAGTTGCACTATTTTCATTTTTTTAACAGTGAACAGATGAATCATGTAATTATGGTAACAATTGCATTAGTGGTGAGCATGTTTAATGCACAGAGAAAGATAGTTATACTCTTTTTACTGTATTCTGCTCTGACAGAAAACATTACAATTTTGAGGAGGTATTGCATTTGACAAGCTCCTTGGTCCCATTGATGTCACATAATTTCACGTATCCAGTGACAACATAGCAATCCTTTTTCTGTAAAGTGTTCACGTAACATAAGGGCTCTGTCCAGTTATTTGCTTCAGGTCAGTTTTGACTGCTGTTCTTTGTGTGCTCAGCAGCTTTTTCCTCTTCTTCAATGTGGGTGAGAGAGTAAGGTGTCCTCCGACAACATCTAAAGATAAAAAAATTACAGACAGTAATGTTTAACCAGTCCTTCACTATGCACATGAGAGCTGTTTGACTGGATACGTGCAAGTAGAAGTTTAACACTGACAGCAGCGTTACTACATGACAATGCATAAAACCACTATATAGTTGATTAAAAAAAAAATATTTAAAAGCTGAAACATCTAAGTATAACATGCTCTATATGCATTGCAAGACATTTAACATCATTGGTTAAATATTTCTATTCAAGCTTTTTTTTTTTTTTTTTTTTTTTTTTTTTTAATTGAACTGTGTATATTTGTTACCAGGACTGAAAGCTCTCTAATTTTTAAAATCGGTTTCAATGAATAGTTTGTCATTTTGGGAAATATTCAGACTTCCTTCATGGCTGATGAAAAGGCTGATAACACTGTCAGGTCTGTCCAGTAAATATTAAACTACAACTAGCAGCCAGGTAGCTAAGCTTAGCACAGAGACTGCAAATGGGCTCTGTCAGAAAGCTGTCACCTCATAATTTCACTAACTACCCTTGGATATCTTGTTGTTTGTTTATTCTGTACAAGAAAAATCATGTTAAAACTGAAATTTAAAAAAAAAAAAAGTACCCAGTTATATTAGAAAAGCAAAGAAGGATTTTCCCCAAAACATTAAACAATCCATTGATGATCTGTTGTTTGGAGTGTTGTTTGTCTCTATCTGATTACAAGTGTGGCTGAACTGGATATATACATACATGTATATATATTTTATTATTTCTATTTTTATAAATACACAGATAAGCCAGAGCAGATGACTGTGCATTTTAGACAACAGAGAGTGTTTGCACTTTGATTTTAGGTGAGCAGAAGTTACTGATTAAGCACGTGAGAAACCCCTCATCATGATGCAGACAGCTGAGCTGTGATGTCAAACAGTCAACGGGCAAATGTGCTTGTTTGTATAAATGTAGGAAGGTTAACAACTGAAAACACTTTTGAGTAAAAGAAGAATTGGACAAAAAAATGTTTTAAAAATCATCCTGTATCTCTACCATTGAATGTGGGGTTGTGTATTTCTGTAGGTTTAAAACTAGGGCAAAAACATTGTGTGAAAAAACTACAATAAAAGTCAGAACTGAACTGAAACAGAGATAAAACTTTGCATGTAGCACTAAGTAAAAAAGAATGTAGAAAAGTTACGATTATAATGATAATAATGAAACTGCCAAAATCTAGACTGACACTTAGCTCAAACTAAGCTAACATACTCAAAATGTAAATCAAAAACCAGTAAAATATAAACTGTAGAACAATCCCAATGTAATAATAATGCTGGTGTCCAGGAAACATGGTGAGGTGTAGTTTTACCCGGGGAAGTGTTGCATGTGAGTGATGGTCTCAGGCAAAGGCATTCCATAGCTCTCCGGCAGCAGGAGACTCAGCAACCCCGACAGAACTGTAAGGCTTCCCATGAGGATGTAAGGCAGTGAAATGGAATAGCTTCCTGTGGCAACACATCAGAGCAGGGGGAGACTGTAAATAACAACCTTTTCTACAATAGTGCTAAAAAGCTGTTAAATACAAACAAAAAAAGTCTCTCAAAAATAGTTTGACGTTGCATGTGTGTAGTTTTAATTCAGTCCTTGAAAACCTTTAGAAACATGTGAATTTAAAAGACTGTTGTTCTGATTGCTAATCAAGCTTGCTTTAATGTTTTTGTGTGTGTTCTTGTCGGGGCTTTTCATGGTCACTCTTTGGGTGCTCTAGTTTCCTCTAGACTACAAAGGCAGGCCAGATCAACTGGAAACTTCTAATTGCCTACAAGGATGTCTGTGGATGTCCAAGAGTGTGAGCCCTGTGACAGAGCAGCTGGTCCTATATAACCTCAGATAAGTGGAATGCACATACATGGATTCAACTCTATTTGGTATTTTGAGAGGGTCAGAATGTGCCAGAAACAGCGGCAGGATGCTTGGCATAAGTATCTTTGTGGGGGATGAAGGTGCAGCCAGCAGTGTTTTTCAGAATTGGTGTTAATTTTTTTTGCTTGTGCAAACACAATTTATTGAGATAAATAAAGGGGCATGAATTTGGTGTAGTTAAGGGAGAAAAAAAGAGCATTCTTACTCAAGTAAATGAAGAATGGAGCAGTGATGCTGCCTATTCTGGAGGCCATCGAACAGGTGCCAACAGCCGTATTCCTCAGTACAGTCGGATACAGTTCTGCTGTGTAGGCGTACACGACTGCAAACGCCGTCGTTATTGCAAACTTGCCTATCATCTCGAGCGTTATGGCGAAGTAAATCAGGTCTGCAGGGAAGAAAATATGAAGATTAAATGTGAGTTTTCAATTCAGTAAACATTCAAACAGGTTGTTCTTGTTGCAGTGATACGAGGATGACAAAAGTGAACATGTGAATGTTACAGACAGTAATATATATGAGTGATCTTAGGTAAAAGCACACATAAGAGAATGGCAGAAATCAAGGCTACATTAAAATCTTTAGAGATTGTCATACCTGCTGGTATGAGCTGTATGAGGAGTAGAAACAATCCTCCCGTGAAGAGAGTTGAGAAGAGACTCAGTCGTCTGGAATACCAGCGGAACATAACCCATGACACAGCGTAGGCCGGCATCTCTACCAGAGCAGACAGGAAGCAGTTGAAGTACACGTTCCCATGGAGGTTTGATGTGTTCAGGGAAAGAGCGAAGTAGGCAATGGTCACTGTGTTCCTGTGGGGATAAAGTTAAGCACAAAAAAACAAGATGGTGTTGTTTTTTCTGTACCTAATGAAACTTGATTGCATCCACAGTAGTTTTATCAGGATGTGCCTCAGAGGGACCAGCTTTCACACCGTGTTGACACCATAGCTGAATAACAGATCCTTAAGGCTGGATCTGCCTTCCATAGTGGCAAAAGAAGAGATGTACTTTCAGCATACGGTAGATTTACCGACATACTGTGTGCAAAGGTAAGCCGACCCAAAACATTTGCAGAGTTTTAGAGGATAGGGAGGGGGCAGTATGTAAATACAGGAGTGGCTTGTGGTTGGTTTGCATATAGGTGATGATCAATGACAAAAGGTAAGAGAAGAATGGAACCGGCAGACAGCTAACAATAACTAAACAGGATGGAGTCAAGGGGTCTGACACACAGCAAAAGGTAAGAGAGTTATCAGTAACATAGAGTGACGGAATAAAGGGGTGTCTCTAGACATTTGCTGCTTGTGAACATAAAACATAACATAAGACAGTTGCTTTTAAAAGAGTTGCTTTTAGTAAAAAAAAAAATGGACAGGACTGTCATTCATCCCTGCAGCTTCCCTCAGCTCTGTAGAACTTCACGGTGTCTTTCTGTTGCATCTCTCTTGTCCTCAGCGTTACTGTTTCGGTTCTCTCTCAAATGACAACTGACTGTATATTAAGATGGATGGACTCCGTGACGTCACCCTCAGGTTTCCTGAACAGCCGGTTTGAAGCTCAGTGTGGTGTTGGTGCCTGACTCCACTTAACTTCCAGCTAATCCAAATACGAACAAAGAGAGAATGAAAAACATCTGTGTGCCACGGACTAATCTCCGACAGTAACCAACTGTTGCTCAAAGCAGCCACACTCTTAATTATACAAAACTAGAAGCTGTAATACCATTTAAAAGGGTGATTTATATTTTTAAAAAACACAGTTGGTGCAACATTGAGATCTCTGGGGATTGACTGGATATTGTCCGTGTTAAAGAAGTGTTTGCCCTTTGATTTTAAGTTACTTATTAAGCACGTGAGAAACTTCCCATCTTTATGCAGGCATTTGAGCTATAATGTGAGGTGGTCAAAGGGCAAATGCAAAGGGCAAATGTGTTTGTGTGTGTCACCATGCATATGTGTGTATAAACATGTATATATAGAAAGGTTAACTAAAAACCTGGTAACTCTACAACAGAGTGAACAGATTTGAGTAAAAGGATAATCAGCAAAAACAAACAAAAGTCTTCATCCTCTGTCCTCACACCAAAGGACAGGCTGTCTGTTGTGTGTCTTTAAAACTAGAGCAAAAACATTGTGTTAAAAAAAAACTACCATACAGGTAAGGAGTGAACTGAAAAACAACAACAACAACAAAAAAACATTTAACTTTACAAGTCTGTGGGGACTGACTCACTCTTGGAAGCAGCTTCAAGAGGCCATTTGAGGACCTGCGGTGTTTAGCTTTATTCCTCAGCCCAGGAGGTCGCTGCCAATTGTGAGCCCCATAATCACAAGACCAAGGGGATGATTGTGCACCCTGCTCATATTTCCACTGCCAAGTATGCTGCATATTATAATTGTTGTTATAATACAAAATTGCAAGTCCATGAATCTGATAAACAGTTCAAGGAATTAGAGTTTATGGCACTTCTGCATTGGCTTCATTTATTTAGCCCAGAGCAGCATATTACTTTGACAATTGCAGCTCAGGCTTCCTGGGTTTGTAATTTTTAAGAGCATCCGAAAACATTCTCTTCAGATGTTCTTTTTGTTCGTGATGGATCATTTTAAAAGCTACTAGCAGAAGAGGCAGGAACTCCATAAGAGTTGTGTGATGACACAGATTTGATCTAGTATCCACATTTTTGACTTTATAAAGTTCACAAGTCCCTCAGCTGAAAAAAAAAATGTGGGCCTCATCCCACTTGCTATGATGAGCTTTGCAACACCAAATCGAACTGTTTCTAAATCAAACAAAAATCAAGCTGCATCTGTTTTCAGACTCAGCAAGGCAGCAGCAGGCTCAGGAACAGTACAGGCATACTGTGCAGTTACATAAAACCCGATTTTGATCTTAGTTGCAGGCTTCACAGCACCCGACAGGTCATTATTTGTTGTTAGTGAAACGGGCTGACATGTGGTCGAGACGACACATGAGCAGGCGAGAGCTGCATGCGAGTATGTACACGTGTAACGGTGTGCGTTTAAGTCTACATGTGACGTCTCAGGTGTCTGTATGTGTGTGTGTGTGTTGCTGTAGGGTCACTGTACTGTATTTGGAGGTCATCTGGGACAGCAGGGACTCACCAGACCAGCCACAGCGTGATAGAGATCCAGCGGATGTTTCGGGAACGGAGCAGGTCACAGATGTTGTGGGCCCTCTTCTTCTCTGAGGCGAGTTCTTTCTGTGGGGCAGCAGAGCATGTGGAACAAAAAACACATAACAAGCAGAACCATCAGTGTAGAATAAATGTACTTTGAGTGAAGCTAGTGAATGCATGGCCACCTGCTGAGTGAACTCCACGCACGTGTTCATACATATTGTACCCAAACTTGAGGATCGGAATTGAAGGAGGTAAAAGTTCATTGTTGCATGAAAAAAACTGAAGACTGGAAATAATTAGGAACATTTGTGTTTTATCACCACGACCAATTTTTATAGTTATATTAAGTTGTTTTTCAGTATATTGGCAGTTTCAGCGTGTCTGTAAGATATTTGTGCATCACATTACGGTACACAGCTTGTAACAGATTTTAAATAGAAAACAACAATAATTCATTAAGTGATGCTGCCAAAAAGCGAACTTAAACAATCCCACACAAACCACTACAGTCTGCTGCCAGCTTCCAGCGTTGAGCAAGAGGTGAAATAAATGTTAAAATTAAAATGTTTACAAGGCTCTGTGTTCCCTTAGTAGACAAATGTCCCTAAATAACACAGCAGCATTTTTGGACAGAGAGCTGAAACGTTTGTTTTACTTCAGCACGAATTACAAACCTCTGTTTCAAGCGTTTACCAATCAGCGTTATAGTGACTGAACAACCAACACTTTCTGACTCGTGCCGAGAGCCTATTGTTTCTTAATGAGTAACGTGCAGATCAACATGCATCTGCACAGAGTTTAGGTCATGCATGTGACAGTTCAAGTTTCTAGAATAAAGTTCACAGGTTGAAAGTCACGTAACACAGGAGACCAGCTGGATGGAGGAATGGAGAGAGATGCATTTTGTAATCTGCTTTTCCAAACATTGTACTACAGCTGCTTTGTAGACAGTCCTACATCTCTTAGATTTCCACTGAAATAGCACAAGGTCTCTATTTGGAAAAATGACCACTATTACTGCAGTATAGAGTCTGACTCATGATATACAGAAGATTTGATCAAGTTTTCAATGTAGTTTCTATTGTTTTTAAGACTTCAGCATATAGTTTACAACAAAACTTGTTAACATGTTGAGTTCTTAACAACTTTAAATACCTGTATATGTTGAATATTAGGGTGTTTTAGCTTTTACATTGTTAAAAACAACTGTGTTAGACTATTAGACTTGTTTTCATGTTCTTTGGTGATGGTTTTTCTACTGTGAACACCATTTGTTTCGCAAAATCAGAAGCACTGACCCACCAGGGTTGCTGACATACCAAAATGTGCACGTTGTCATTTTTCAAGAATAGCTGCTTGCATATTCTGCTGCAGCTGTTTGTTTTGGTTTTGTTTTTTTTGGCTGATGTTCAGTAGTCTATTGATGCTCTTGTATCCTGTCACATCTTTCAAGTCTCACAGCCTGGTTTCTGACCACGAGAATCCATGTTGCACTGGGCACAACTCAGGGCAATTACACATAACTGAATGTGATTTAATTCTGTCATAAAATATTGGCAAACTTCTCCAGTAGCAGGGAGGGAATGTGTTGCATAAATCTTGACAGCATGTCGATCCACTGGCATCCAGATTGGTCTTAATTCATGTGGAAAATGTAAAAACAGTAAACGGCTACATCACGCTGAGCAGTGAACTCCAAGAAGGTTCATCCTCTTTCACCCTGCTCATCTGGGAAATGAAGTTGTTTCACAGAAAAACAAATGCCTGTGTGTGGGGGGAAATGGGTATTATTGACTAAAGTATACATTTGAATAGAATCCTGTTGACTATAGTTCAATCCTTACTGTTGTAGTCCATCACTGATTACTAAAAAACTGTTTTTGAGTGATGTTATAGACTTATGTGATAGCCATTGTATGTTTTTGCTTTTTTGTAATGATAGATTTGAGTTGGTACTTCCATTTTCTGTTAGAGCCTTTGTCTCATGTTGGTCTTTTAAGCTTTGTCAGTAAATCTAAAATAACTTGTAATCTTGCAAGAGATGTAACTACACTTATATTTATATAAAAACGGTAACTTCAAAGCAAGGAACACTCACCAAGAGACATGTTTACCTCAAAAACATGCTATAAGTACAATTTGTCATGATTTTCTGAGTATATGCACTTATAAATGCCACCACGATAAACAAAACTGTCCAAAATCTGTTAACCACAGCAGCCAGTAAGGTCTCACCTGCAGAGGACTAAAGATGACCGATGGAGGCTCGATCTTGTTCGTCTTAGCAGCAGCTCTGATTATGGCCTCAGCATCTCCTATTCTTCCCTTAGAGAGCAGCCATCGAGGAGATTCTGGGACAAACCTTCCTCATTACACAGTGAAACAGACAAAGAAACAGAGGTTCAGTCCACAGGGACAGAAGAAAACAGTGCACAGGTAAAGTACTGCTGATGCTTTTCATTTCCTTTACTTTGGTTATCAGCATGGGACAATGCAAAAATGCCGGCCTCCGTGAAAGTAAAACACGAGCTACAAAGCCTTCATGTAGTTGATATTGACTGATATTTTTAGTGGTTATTACACTGGCAATACATGCTGGTGTCATCAGTATATATTTATATGAAACATAACTAATGACTATTTCTAGATTAAGTAATGGTTTAGCCAGTCTTCATTCAAGAGTTCAGTTACTTCAAATTGCTTTTATTGTTTGACCATCAGTCTAAAAACCTTGATTTTTTATTTTATTTTTTTGCATTCACATCACATAAATAATTATTAAAAACATTTTAATTCATTTTCTAAAATCAATGAAACTAGTGCACAACAATCTAGTTAGTTTGTAGAAGGACAGTAGTTGACAATGAATTTGTGAAACATGCCTCAGGGATGGAATTAGAACTGCTAACACATAGCTGCTGGCATTACAGACAAGTCTTATTAGTTCATAACATAAAAAGGTTATGTAGCATCCACTGTGAGAAATTTAAAAAAAAATTGCCACAGACTCGCACGCAAACACACACCTACCTACCACCAGAGAGGCACATAGAGGAAGCCAGGCAGGGCGAGGCATAAGAGCAGCTTCCTCCAGTCTCTGATGAAGAACGCGAGCAGCGGCAGGAACATGTAGCCCAGACCAAAGAACATACACATACCGGCAGTGGAGAAAATGGTCCGCACACGTGGACCCAATGTCTCCGTGCCTTCGAAAAGCAAAACAAAGGTTGAATTATGCAGGTTGTGGCATTTTAATGAGTTTTACTGTGAATCAATGAGGTGAAGTGATGTACCTAAAACAAATGCAGACACATAGTAGGAAATTTGTGCCAATCCGACAACAAAGAATAGAGCGCAGAACACGGTCCAGGATGGTGCGAAGGCCTGGCTGAATGTGAAGACCGTCTGGATTGCTATGGTCAAAAACAACACTATTTTTCTCCCATATCTGAAACAGATATAAAGCACAGGTAAACGAATGAGTGAGTGTGTGTTATAGATGGGCAGGTCATCAAATTAATGCCGGCACGAGAGTATATGCTGCTGCTTTGCTGCTCCATAAGAGGAGCGGGCGTCATTTGTAATGGGTTAGAGGTCATTTTTTTTACTATCAACATTTCCTCCCATTTAGAATTGCTTTGCTTATAAAAGTTGTTTCACTGTGAATTTATTGTGTAGCTCTCTTTCACCCCTCTCATCAGCTTTTATCTAGTAATAAAGAAAACTAGGTTGTGAAGAAAATCAAACATCTAGCAGCTGAAGAACCATGTGTTTTTCCCAGGAGAATGATTATAAGTTTTGTGTGTAGATGTGTGTATGTAGGTGTGTGTGTGTGTTTTGTCTCCAGTTTGTGGCTCTCATGCACTAGTTATTTTGTAGGTCACAGAGATAGGCATCAGTTAAACTTCAAAAGTGTTAACTGGCATGGACCCACTGCCCAATGAGAAAAACACCAAATGGCTCAAAGATCAAGTGCCATGTACACTGACTGGACTGCTGATTATGATTTTGTTTTGTTGGACTACTGCTGACTGCTGTCCCAACAGGTTTATTTTGTTTGTGTGTGCGTGTGTTTTAATTGCTAAGCTTCATCTCTTGTGTCAAACCTGTCAGAGAGCTGTCCTGTGATGAAGGAGCCGGTGAGAACGCCACAGAAGTAGACAGAGGAAGTCATTGGTTTCTTCCAGCTGTCATCACACACCAGGTCCCACTGCAAAAAACACACACATACATGCATTAAAGTACAGATTAAACAATAACAAGGGCAGAATTGGTCAGATTTCTCACCAAGAAAAAAAAAACAAAAACAAATGGCACAGATACTAGTCTAATTTGAAAGCAAAACACTATACAGAAACAAGAGCAATAAATTAGAAATGCACCATCACTGCTAGAATAAAATATAATGCCTACTACTTTTTGAAAATTATCTGGGAGGAAAAATACCACCACTTTTGTCTCTAACAGCATGAATAAATCCACTAAAACGTGCATTTTTGACCTTCAAATCAACATACTGCCTGTATATCATAACAGCACACACACAGGGCCTACAGTAACCTCATTTCCCCTCAGCATGGAAGCAGCAGCAGCGTCTAAATTTAGGAAAAGGCGCGCGCACACACCTCGGATGCGATAGTGGAGATGTATTGACTCCGGTCGTACTCCCATCCGTCCAGGCAGCTTTCTTGGGGCACATGAGACAGATTGACATCCACTCCGGGCAGCAAGCCCCTGTCCGAGTAACTGAGCATCGCATCAATCTTGTATCTGCTGCATTTGCTGGGCACCAGAGCTCCGCCGTGACTCTGGTCCTCCTCCAGCGGGATGCTGCTGTTCCTCCACGCCGCGCTGAGGTTGACGTGCGCGGGGACGACACAGCGGTGCGCCGGCGTGTCAGCTAGGAACACGATGGACAGGCCGGTGAAACCGTTGGGGATGGCGGTCAGACAGAGGAGGTAAAACACCTTCTGCTGGAAACGTCCCCATTCGCCGAGGAAAGCGATTTCGGCATCGTAGTCGCTCATGTCGCCGGTCAGGTTGCGTCTCCAGGAGCGCAGAAGTCGGGCAGCGTGAAGAAACACGCAAGGAATGACTTTGGTGTGGGCATTTGTGAAGCGGTGGTTTTGTTTCAGCTACGACACCATCCCACCCACCACCCGCTCCATTGTTTTTTGGATTTGGTTTTGCAAAATTAACCAGCCTTTAAAGGCGCAATCCGTGAGAGCAATGTCTGCTGAGCCAAACCACTGGAATAAAGCCCAGCATGTCCCTGAATGACCCACTAATATATGTCACACAATATATATTTTATCATAGTTTAAGGAGTTAGTTATATTAGTGCTGCAGTAAAATAATACATGAGAAGCACATTTATATGGCTAAAAATAGGATTATTTATTATTCATGTCATGCAAGTTTTCATTTTCAACACAGCCCCTGGCTTTATTTTCAGGTCAACAAATACCCAATTTTCCTCTGTTGTAACCCAGCATCTGTTACCTAATAATGGAGAAAAACTTGAAAATGACATTCTTCATATGTGAAACAGTCCAATTTAGTTAAATAGCTTCCCTTAATGAGCTAATATGAGCTCATTTGTCCACCATCACTTACACAAAATGAAACCAATGACATATGAGTGACAGGTGGCAGTCCAAGAAAACTTTTTTACCCCCAGATTGCTGTGTCTAAAGTGTCATTAAAACACAAATTAATGTGATGGAAAAGTCTGTCATTTGGGACAGAGTGCAGAGGGCACAATCTCGTTCCACTGATCTACCAAGAATTTTTCCACTTTCTTTGCTTTATAGGTTGCCGCACAAGACTCGGATGCACTCTGGACCCTTTTATCTCTGCAATGACAGCTGTGACAAATGATCTTTGGTCCAGTGTCATAATACATAGCACTGTGCACACTCCTTTCTTATATCTCCTTAATGATCTTTTACAGCTTTTCAACACAGAATCGTGATAAGTTTAATCTGTATTTTTTTGACAAGAATTTACAAAAATGTCAAAGTGAAAAAAGATTTCTGCACGTATTGTTGCCTGTGTGAATAGGCCTCGAGCAGCCTTGCACATCTGGACCCTGCAATTTGATGAAGATAATAGCACATCTTGTTGCTACATGTGATTGTGATGATCATGTAATGTAATGTCTGGAGACACCCCTAGTGCCACCCCTTGACTCAATCCCCTTCAATGATTGATAACTTTCTGTAAGACCCTTTGTTCTCTCACCTTAAGTTCCCCCTTGTTCACTTACCTTTCGTCATTGATTAGTACCTACATGCAAATCATCCACAGCCCACTTCTATCTTTACATACTGCCCCTCCCTACCCTTTAACCATCACTTGAGACACATTCACATCACTAACTGTGTTGAATTAGGTCACTTTAAAGGGGGTGAATACTTGTGCAGTCACTTATTTTTAAATTCATGACTTTGTAAAAATCTGTCTTCATTTTGTCTTTCGCTTTGAGTCATTTTTTATAAACTGTCAAAACAAATCTAACTTGTTGACCTTGATTCAATGTTGAAAAGCAGAGGAAAACTTTCAAGGGCATGAAAACTCTTTATAAACACTGTAGTTCAGTATTTGGGGAAATAAAACATGTGTTCGTTGTGGGGGTGAGCAGTGAAATGAGAAGGTGGATACCACTGTGTCCAGTAAATAAAGCTTGGCCCCGTCGCCTTCTCACTTTAGGTTGGCTCAAAGAATGGACACAGGGCAACAGTTAACCTTGATCAGTAACAAAATCCTCCTGCCAGCACCTCCAAAGCACACAGAGGACATGAAAATGTCAAATCTAATCAGTTTAATCTGTGAAAAAAATAGAAGATAAAAAGAAGAAAAAAAATTATCGTTTTACAAGAGGCTTACTGTATGTGCCAGACTATTTTATGACTTGGATCAGCTGCCAAGAAACCAGTAGAGACTCCAGGAAGTTACTGCTCCTAACCAAGAAACAGCTTGGTATGTAACCACCATAAAATTGCAAATAGTTGTTTTAGCACTTCACTTTTTGTGTGGACTGAACAATTGAACTCTAACATGTTATTTTGTGAGCTTTAAAGTGGAGAAAGTCAGACAGAGCCATACTTGTTTCTCTGTGTTTGTCATTCTTTATGCTAAGCTAAGCCATATTTAATGGGCAAACATAACAGTGGCACCAATCTTTGTACAATTTTACAATTTCATTTTGCGGATGCTTTTATCCAAAGCCACATACATCTGAGAGCAGATACAACACAAGCAAGGATCTAGTCAGGAGAACACAATCTAGATAAGTGCCATAGAACAAATTCAAGTGTGAATGGGGCGTTGATGCCAATAGCAGGCTGTGTGGGAGGTAATAGGATTTTTTTATTTTATTTTTTTGTTTGTTTGTTTTTGGGCTGTCAAGTGCAAAGGTTTTCAGCGAAGAGCTGGGTCTTCAGTCTTTTCTTAAAGACTGAGAGGGTGTCAGTAGATTGAACAGAGTTTGGTAACTCGTTCCACCACCGCAGAACCACAGAGGAGAAGAGTCTAGCTATCGACCTCGGGCCCTGTTGCGGTGATTGTATCAGGTCTTTGTTGGTCGAGCGTACTCAGCGGGAGGGAGTGTAGATCTTAATGAGAGAGTTCAGGTAGGAGGGAGCTGTTCTCGTTGTGGTTTTGTAAGCAAGTGTCAGGGTTTTGAATTTGATATGGACAGCAACTGGAAGCCAGTGTAGCAATCTGAACAGCGTGGTGACATGTGCTGTTTTTGGCTGGTTGAATACCAGATGTGCTGCTGCATTCTGGATCATCTGCAGAGGTTTGACCGTGGATGCGGGAAGGCCTGCCAGTACGGAGTTGCAGTCGTCAATGCGTGATATTATGAGAGCTTGTACCAGGAGTTGTGCTGCATGTTCAGACAGGAAAGGTCTGATCTTCCTGATGTTGTACAGGGCGAATCGACACGACCGAGCAACAGAAGTCACATGAATATTGAAGGTTAGTTGGTCATCAGTCATGACACCCAAGTTTCTGGCAGATTTTGTGGGTTTGAGTTGGGTTGAATCAAGCTGGATGTTGATTTCTTGTTGTAGAGAGGGACTGGCTGGGATGGCAAGGAGCTCAGTCTTAGAGAGGTTGAGTTGAAGGTGGCTTTTTTTCATCCATGCCGAGATGTCTGCAAGGCATGATGAGATCTGACTATGTGGTCGTCCGGGGGGAAAGACAGGAAGAGCTGGGTATCATCAGCATAGCAATGGTATGAGAAACCATGGGCCTAGATTATTGCACCGAGTGAGATTGTGTAAATTGAGAAGAGAAGGGGACCAGGCACTGACCCTTGAGGAACCCCTGCGGATAGGTTGTGCGGTTCGAACACTTCTCCCCTCCAGGATACTCTGAAGTATCTTCCTGAGAAGTAGGACACACAATCTTCTTAGAGAGGAAAAGTGCATTTCACAAAATTTGAAACTGTTCTTCAGTGAAGCATCCATAGACAAAAAGCATTGAATGGGGTTTTCCAAACGGGATCCACTTGTTCTTTAAACACACGGATTATGCTGTGAAATCCATCCATCCATCCATTTTCTATACACCGCTTAATCCTCATTAGGGTCGCGGGGGGGCTGGAGCCTATCCCAGCCGACTTAGGGCGAAGGCAGGGGACACCCTGGACAGGTCGCCAGTCCATCACAGGGCCACACTTAGAGACAGACAACCAAGCACACTCACATTCACACCTACGGACAATTTAGAATCACCAATTAACCTCAACATGTTTTTTTTGGACTGTGTGGGAGGAAGCCGGAGAACCCGGAGAGAACCCACGCTGCACGGGGAGAACATGCAAACTCCGCGCAGAAAGATTCCGGTGCCCCCACCGGGACGTGAACCGGCAACCTTCTTGCTGCGAGGCAACAGTGCTACCAACTGCGCCACCCTGCAGCCCATGCTGTGAAATGTCTTTATATTTGCCATAATTTCATGTGAGTATCACAACTTCAGACTGAGTGTTTGCAGTGTGCCCTATAATCAATGAGTTCATTCTTATCAACGGACAGGTGACAAATTAAAGAAAAAACCAAGATAAACTGTCATACCAAGGTGTTGTCTCACTATGTGCTGCCAGAAAAGCTTAACGCTCCTTGGCATTGATTTTGCAAATTCCTGAAACTCTGCTAGAGGGATGGAATGCAATTTTTTAAAAAGGTATTTCCTCACTGGGTGTTTTAATGATTGTGGAGAGCATAGTCTAACACCTCAGTCCAAAATGTTCAATAGATGTAGAATTGGGCTGAGATCATGACACTGTGAAGGCCACAGCATATCGTTGACATAAATGTCATTCTCCTTCAACCAATCAGTGACCCCTGGTGTCCTGTAGATGGAGGCGTGGCCATCCTGGTAGAAACCACTCCTATCAGGATAGCAATGTTTCATCAAAGGGTAAAAGTGATAGCTCAGAACAGCTTGGTATTGATTTGTAGTGACCACAGGACAGCAAGAAGTTAGATTCACAAACAGTGAGTGTTTATGTAGGTCAAACTGAGACTGTCCTAAATCGAATGGTGTGAAGCCTTCGTGTATTACTTCAAGTCATTTCAGCTTTATTCATAGCTTTGTTTTTGTTTTTTTTATAAATCAGATAGGTCTATACTAAGTTTAAAGGTTGCTTTCTTTTGCTTTTTGTTTTCTTCCTATATAATCTAGTAAAGTGAAATGATAGAAGAATGTATTTGCAATACTTTTTTTTTTTTTTGTTTTAATGCCCTTAAACGTCACACACATCCAAAATGGTAACCTGTCTTACTTAATTACACTAAATGTTGATTACATCAGTGTGCTCCTGTGTCATGTCATGTGCAGGTAGTCACAGTCATTAAAGCCTCAGACTGTAAAACAATCTTCTCGGATTCTGACGAAAACCTTGTGTTAGAACTCTAGTCAATGATTCCAAAGACTGCTCACCACTTTTGTTGCGAAAGTGAGGAATGTGCTGTTTCACACATGGAGTACAAATGATATTGTGCAAGCAGATTTTGGAGGCAGATGTTTTTCATCATCCACAACTTCAGTGTTATCACTTAATAAGAATCAGATATATAGTTTATGCATCTATCTTTTTTTGTGCAAATGCAGTTTATGTCCATATTAACTATAGTAACATGTAATACAAGTATCATGTAGAAGACATGTCTGACGAGTATTGTTTTTTTTCCCAGACATTTCTGGGGGGGAAAAAAACATTTCAGCATCCTAAAGTGCATGTGAAATGCATGTTTTTGTGTAGTCTACTATTCTATGTTTTTGTTGACCAATTTTCTTGCAATACATTTGCATAAATGTCAGATAAACATGTTCTCACCTGAGAAGCTGTCAGTCACAGTGCTGTTGTGCAAGATTCCCTTTTTCCAACTGTTTTTAGACTGTCACATGATTATTATAACTTGATTAGAATAAACCATTTAAACTTATTATGCTTTCAGGAGAAACCTAATTACAGTAGCAAAATGAGTCCAGTGTTAAATGTGCAGAGGTCCTAGAACATCTTGAGCCAGAATCTGACAGCCAGATCATTTGATTTGGTTGTTCCTTTTTTTCCCATAGATTTTTCATGAGTTGTTTTGAGAAGATAAAAGACCACAGATGACTGTGGCCTAGGCTCATCACACATCTTGAGTCCCTATTTTGTGCGAAACATAATATCACAGCCTTGCAAACAGAGAAAACACATCTATTAACTAGAACGAAACATTCCTGATTATCTCCAGTTAAGTTCATGCACAGCCTTAGGGTAACTAAATATCCAGCGACTTTAAAAAGCCTGACATTTAAACTTGGCTTTAATCTGCAAGTCTGAAAAACTCACATCAGTTAGCTACATTTAAACAATAACTTGTCAGAATACATTGTTTTACAATGTTTACCTCTAAAAAGTGCACATGGATCAGTTCACTCTCTTGCAGAAAAGAAAAAAGTCTCAAAAGTTAATTGCATTAATACTTTTTCTGCAAATTTGTGGTGATTTTTTTTTTAAACAATAAAAAAGCTACTGAAAGAGTAAAGAAAGGCAGTGAGCAAAGGTACATGAGTGCATCCTGCCAGCAATGAGTTTGGGTATATAATGGGACTTGTGCAGTGTATAAGTTCTGACTCTTATGTTCCTCAATTTTATTTTGATGTTTCAATTTTGCAACTTTCCCAGCTAGCATTTGGAAATAAAATCACATTAATTCTGCCCATAAAACATGATTCAAGTGAACTCTATTCATTTGCCTTTTATTATGAAATGCAGTCAACTGCTGTGGCTGCGGTCCATGTCCCAGAATTTACCAAAGAGTATCAGTGTGTGGTGTGAGGAGGCATGACTGTGAAGAAAACATGAGAAACTTGGTAGTAAATTCAGGAAATATAAATGTGAATGTTGGTGTTTACAATAAGCATGCAGTAAGTATATCAATGTGGCGGACTCTAAACCTAAGTCTATGTTTTCATGAATCAGGCATTTTAGTAGTTTATTGTTAGGATAGTAAAGCAAACGTACACACAAGATATTTACGTTTTCTGCCGATCTTTCTGTAAAGGCGTGCTCGCCTCTACAGTGTGGCTTAAAAATAGTCCAACGGGAGTCTTAATGCTACTTAGCAACATTTAGAGTGCAGGCACGTGAACTTCTTTGGAGTATTTAAAAGTGTGGAATGTTGTTTAGAACGCTGTGTGGAATGCTGTACTGCAGGGACAGACTGACCACTGTGAAGCTTTGATAAGCTTTATTTAAATCAAACCAAATCACAGAGCGAGGGGTCTCTCATTCTTTGCTCTGAGATAAATTTGCCGCCTTGTCTGTCTATGAAAGAACAGGGGGATCAGTTAGGCTTAAGGACTTTTTTCCAGTTTGGAATAAAAAGTTCTCCCCTTGAAAGGAGGTTTAATACTCTCTCAGGAGTGGAAACTGAAGTTTTGTAATTGTGACTCCGTCCCAGTGAGGGACCAGCTCATTCTGCCCCACAGAGAGCTCAGCCCTACCACTCTGGTGCTAAGCTGAAGACTTTAAGAGGAACACCACGTCTTGAAGGACATTTTTTTTCTCCCTCAAGAGCAGGGAGGTAGTTTTTTTTTAAATAAAGAATGGGAGACTATGATGAAGACACTGCATTCCTGGGACAAACTGGTCCCTACTTCTGGACTACATTCTTCCTCCTAAACACAGTTTTTGTGTCAACTGGATTCAACGGACTCTACATTGTGTTTGTTGGAGCAGCTCCGAAGCACCACTGTCTCATTCCAGAAGTCAACCTCACTGATGAGTGGAGAAATGCCCTCATTCCCTTTACGATAGTGGACGGCGTGGTGGTTCAGAGCCAGTGCAGCAGGTATAAGCTGGATGTGGTTAGAAATCTCTCTGCTGAAGGATATATACCTGGAAGGGATGTTAACGTCACTAACCTGGAGCAGGAGGCATGTTTAGATGGATGGAGCTACAGCAAAGACATCTACCAATCCACTATTGTCACTGAGGTCAGCATGAATGTGCATGTTTGCATTTCAGTTGCTTTTCCTTCTTTTTTTTTTAAGCTTGAAATATGTTATCCCTGTCTTTCATAACTTTCACAGTGGGACCTTGTTTGTGACAACCAATGGAAAGTTCCATTTGCATCATCGACTCTCTTTGTGGGATACCTTGTGGGGTCCCTTATCTCAGGCCAGCTTTCAGACAGGTATTTCATCCTTAACTCTCACTTTTGTCATCAGTGAAATCACCTCAAATGTGTCTTTCTAGTTTAATATGCACCTTAGACTCACTGTCATTTTCTGTCATGTACTCCATAATTCAGATCTGTTATTTTATCTAAAGCGTTCTATCACTAATTAAGTATTTTGACAAGGGGATCCTGATTCAGTAACAGTTATAGACACTGTAGTGAATGTTACTGGTGGCATCTGATTATCTGCCATTAATGACAACAGCCCCATCTGCTGTTGAAATCTTCCACACCACATTTTATAGTGAAGAGAAGGTGCTGTTAGGCCTGTGCTGCAGAAGTCTTCACTTGCTTTTGAGTGTTTTCACTTTAATCACTTTTATGTCAAGTGAGCATAGATTGAGGCCAGACAGTTGGACCAATAAAAGTTCTGTGGTTTTTGTAGTGTCCTGCAGTAAATGTTTCCTCTTCAAAAGAAATTAAACGTGTTCTATTTGTGGTATTTTCTGAATCCCCTATACCTGTGAGTCACCATAAATAATACAGAATTCTTTTCCATTCAGGTTTGGGAGGAAGAAAGTCGTTTTCATCTCTCTCGGGGCCCAGTGTCTTTCGGTCCTGCTTCAGTCCTTCTCTCATTCATGGAGGATGTTCTGTATCATGTTCCTCTTTGTTGGAGCCTCTCAAATATCCATCTACATCTCTGCATTTGTACTAGGTACAAGACTTGTAAAATATTTTAATCCTATGTTCAATCTTTTAGGGCATAGTTTTCACACCTTGACTAATTTCAGTATAGCTTTCACTCATCTGTCACATTCTCATCATTATGATTTAATCTCGGACAGGCACGGAGGTGTTGAGCAAAACCATGCGAGTGCTCTTCACGACCCTCGGGGCTTTCCTTTTCTACTGTATTGGCTATATGACACTGCCCTGGATTGCTTATGGCATCAGAGAATGGAGGACTCTACTCGCCGTTTTGTCAGCAACTTCTGTGGTGTACATCCCGCTGTGGTGGTAAGTTTCCCGTCATACTAACTGACTTCTAAACTAAACTAACAGTCATTCATGGATGTAACGTTCCTATTGTGGTTCACTGTTTAACAGCAGACAGAATATTTTGTTGACCTGATTGTGCAGGTTCATCCCAGAGTCTCCTCGATGGCTGATCACTCAGGGAAAACTAGAAGAGGCGGAGCCCATTGTGAGAGAGGCTGCAAGGAAAAATAAAGTGGAAGCACCAGCTATAATCTTTAAAGAATCTGAGGTGAAGCTCGTACTGCATATGGGCATGAATAATTGTATTCTTGGTGTATGGACTTTATGTTATGAAGTGCTTTTCAACTTTTAGGTCAACAGGAAGTGAAACACGAATCGTGTCTTAATCTGTGATTCTGGGAACAAAAACCTCATCAACCTTTGAGATATAGTGGTGGAGATGTTTTAATAGATGCAAACGAAATGTTAAAATGTGACTGCAGAGACCATTTGGAAATAGTTTACTGATTTAGTTTCCTCTGTCATGATGGGACTTGGTTTTCTCCTGCTTGCCAGGGAGGCCTCCTCTTCATGTGCACAGGTGTTAGTTTAAGTTTAACTTTTTGTTTTCAACTTATGTCTGTAACCTTTTTTCCTTGAAGTGACGTAATATTTCAGATGACTGCAATAGTGAAATGCATTATTTCTGTTGCTTAATATTTTATTTGAAAGAGATTTCTTGACCCTGAAAGTTTGATTATACTTTCAGTATTTTGAATTAAGCTTAATTCTATAATTTTTGCTTAAAACCTATATTATAGTCCCATACCCTGAACACATTCAAGTCTGCATCAGTTCCTTAGATCAGCCTTGATACTTGAGAGACTCTCTAAGTGTGGAATATGTAACCACGTAAATCCTCCTCTTTGCCTTGATTTTATCTGCAGGACATGTCTCCTAGCAAGACTTACACTATGCTTGATATTCTGAAATCCAAGAACATCAGATGCATCACACTGATGTGCCTCCTTTTGTGGTGAGTGTGTTTGTTTCCTTCTCATTTAGTCATTAAAGCTTATCAGTCGCAGTCTTCAAACCTTTGTAAATTAAACTGCTTTTACAACTTGGTCCACTCATTCGCAGACTGCAAAACCAAGAAAAACAAAAACTGAAAACTTGCATCCCTTTATCATACAAATAATGATGATGTGTCCCTGATTCTGCTGTCCTTTTTCTCTTTTCAGGATGGCTATAAACATTGGGTATTTTGGCCTTTCCCTGAACACCTCCAATCTTAGTGGCGACCCCTTTATGAACTGTTTTTTATCAGCGACTACTGAAGTCCCTGCTTATGTAGTTTCTACCTGGCTGCTGAAGAAATGTCCCAGGAGAGCACTTCTCTCATTGTTCCTCGTCATTGGAGGAGGAGTTCTTCTGCTCATCCAGTTCATCCCTGACAGTAATGCTTCTTTTGTAAAATCACAGTGAACCTGACTCATACGTGCAGTAATTTACATGGTTTGGACAGCATTAATAGGGACAGTTCAAATATCTGGTAAATTATCTGTAGTAAAGCTTAAAAAGACATTCGACGTCCTTGTAATCCTTGTTTTTTATTCCCAGTAAGAGTGTTCAAAGGGGGAAAATGATCCTTGTTCATACTGTTTTAACACTAGTACTGGTGCATTTTAATGTTCTTCTAGTTTCAGGTGGTTGAGATGGAGAACATTTAAGTCAAACTTTGTGTATTGTCAGTTCTGCTACACATGTACACATACAGGGAACTGAAATTGCATTTCTCTGAAACCTCTCTTAACCATTAATGCTGCTGACAGCAAGCAGAAATGCCTAAGCTTTTGTGCCCTGGTAGGTTTGGCTGTAAGATCTTAAATCAGAGTAGTAAACAACTTTAATTGTCAAATAAATTGAGTGGAGTAAAAATTATAATGTATAAAGCTGCCTAAAATAAGCATACTCAGATAAGGTATCAGTACCTCAAAGTTGTAAAAAGCACATTACAAGTGCCTCAGCTGGCAGAATGGACAGTAGTTAAAGATTGGTAGCTTCACATGTCACGGTGGTGCCTGGACAGGCCTTTCCCAAGAAGTAGACTTACATATGACATAGGGGTGGCCATGCTATTGTGCAAACTAGAACATTATGTCAGGTGAAGTTCTCACAATTCGTGCTGCAGACAGATTTGTACGATGTGGAAGTTACTGTCTAAGCTGCTGATTGTGCAGTTCAGATTACTATCACGCTCACATGGCCATTATCTAAGTAGCATGTCCTTTCTGCGTGGAGTGAAGCAGTAAATACATTATTTTTACTACCGCCAAAGAAAAACACAAACATGATTTTCTTATTATGCTTTTCAACAATGCACCGGAAATGAATTTTCTGTATTAAAAAAAAAGTTTATGTATATTTTAGCTGCTTTAGCTGTTTTGTTAAAAGTAACATATATGTGTAACATACCCTTATTCTGAAATCATCCATCCATTATCTATACACCGCTTAATCCTCACTAGGGTCGCGGGGGGGCTGGAGACTATCTCAGTCGACTAAGGGCGAAGGCAGGGGACACCCTGGACAGGTCACCAGTCCATCACAGGGCTACACTTAGAGACAGACAACCAAGCACACTCACATTCACACCTACGGACAATTTAGAATCACAAAATAACCTCAATTAACCTTCTTAATCTTCTTAAGCGGTGTATAGATAATGGATGGATGGATGCTCATTCAGGGAGACATAAAATGACAGAAGTGTTTTATATCTTGATGATAATCTTTTCTGTACTTTAATTCAAGTCAAATCCCAAATGCAGGACTTTTACTTCTAACACAATACTTGTATGTTGTGCTGTTGCTACTTCTTCCTCCACATAACATTTATTTTTCTTTTAAAAGAACATTTTTAAATGGCTCTCTCTTTCCTCCTCAGCTCTGCAGCATGTCGCTCTGGCACTGGAGATGACTGGGAAGTTTGGCTTCACCATGGCCTTCAGCATCGTGTACATCTACACCGCCGAGATCTACCCCACTGTACTCAGGAACGTTGGCATGGGAATGTGCTCTTCTGCTGCACGCATCGGCAGCATCACAGCTCCTTATGTCATTTATTTAGGTACGTAGACGTCGAGTACACTACTCCACAAAGATATTGCATATTCACTGCACTGATATGTTGTAGGTTTGCAAAATTTCTATCCATATTTAAGTAAAGCCAACATTTTCTGATGTAGGATTTTGCTTTCTTGTTATTCGCAGGTACATACAATAAGGTTCTGCCTTATATTCTCATGGGAAGTCTCACAATTGCCTCCTCTGTGGTTAACTTCTTCCTCCCGGAGACCCTTCATAAAGATCTTCCAGAAACAGTTGAGCAAATGCAAGAATGTCAAGGGTAGGTACACACTCGTAGAGTTGCTGTGTTGTCCATTAACCACAGGGTTGCTGGGTCTGTCCCCGGCCCCTTTGGCAATTGGACAGACCTGCGCTCTAATTGGCAACACTTCTACTGATAACTGTCTTTTGCTGGCCCTCTGAAAACATGAAAATAAAACTGACTTTATGTTAGCTACCTCCTTGCTCAAAAGCGAACACAGTTTGTGAGAACTTACAGCACAGTCAAAGAAAATGAGATAAATCAAAGATCCAGCTGTCAGCCTCTATTTATTTGTGTCTGTTTGCCATTTTTAATATACTTCTTTCTATTTCAGGGTGTGCACTGGACCCAAAAAGGACAAATATGTAGAAAACGGAGCAATGGGCAACCTGCCCGTACAACATGAGGCCAAATCTGACGTGCAAACTCTGACGCTTTAGTTTTTTGTAAGCACTTTATATTCAATTTTTAACTGTAGTGTGTTAGTTTTCAGAGTTCATATGGTAATGCTCATGTGATCCCATGTTTAAATATGTTAATTTGTGTTCTGTAGCTGTGAAAATGTTTGCAATAGCAAGAGTGATGTGTGAAGGTGTCAGAAAGTCTAGATTTGGTGGGCATGTTTCCAGTTGTGGTTTAATATCACGGGAGATAAATGTATGCAAAAGGCTGTGTTCAGAGAGAAACCAGATGTAGTTTACATCAGGGTATAAAATGAACTGTTACTTTTTTCGTCTTTGTAATTTCATCTGCTACCTGTACTGGAACACAGTTGCTATGGCTGAGCTTGTTAAATACATACCTGAATTGAACATTTTTCTGAGCATTTGACTTCTACTTTAGCTCTCTTTCTGGTGTGTAATCGTCTCAAATCTGAAAATGAAAGCTCAGTGGGGATACTGCAGAGCCCCTGAAAGGTCCCAATAAGAACCTGCGCATTACCTCTCATTCATATTAACAGTTGGTTCTGGGGCTTGAAGGTGGACTTTTGAAGTCACTGGTCAAAGGACTGTCTGTGTACTTGGAACCTGATTTTTGTCCACCTGACTGAGCTGTGGATTAACTCAATGGTCAGGAATTTGTCACCAGTTTGCAGCTCATAAATCAGTTTTCTAACCCTAACAATAGAAATGAGATGTTTACATTTTCAATCAGTAAAGAAGACCATTTGCCTAAGTAAAAGAATGTATGTCTAAATATTACCAGGCGTTGGAATATTCACCGGTGTTACTGTGAACATAATGAAGACATCTGTCTAAATGCTGATGTGTTTCAAGCCTCCTTATTATTTCCAAAACGATATGGTGTATTGACTTAAATTCGTCCTGGGTTGCTTTCTCATAGGACTTTGCTCATCTGGAGCAGTTAATGAAAAAGCGCAAATGAGCACCGAAGCAGAACAGTCATAATCTCTTTATCATCATTCCTTTTGGCTGCAATAAAAAAAAAAAAACTTCAGCATCCCCCTATTTAACCTCTGCTTGAAAATCATTAACTGTTCTTTTTCAGGATTGATTGAAAGGCCTGTCATTGCAGGTACCTGCTATATCAGGATTTTTTTTTTTTTCTTTGTACAACACATCATGTAACTGTGTAACCTCCCAGGGCAGCACAGCAGAGGGTGGTGTATAAAACGTGCGCTCGGCTTTACAGTTCACACGGTCATTCAGTAGTACAGCGCGCGCTCTCTTAATCCTCTCAGAGCTGCTGAAGCACTGGCTTGACTTTTTCTTGTATCTAAGTATCAAGAACTTTGGTGAGCATGGGCAGCACAAAAATCAGAGACTATGACACCATTACATCTTTCCTTGGACCTTGGGGAGTCTTTCAGATAAGGATTTTTTTATCACTAGCCATAAGCATCGTCCCAAACGGATTAATTGGCGGCTACATAGTGTTCTTAGGTGATACCCCGCCTCATGAATGCTACGTCCCCGAAAACTACAGCATCAGTGAGATCTGGAGAAATGTTACAATCCCATTGGAAACGGTTGATGACGTCACAAAGCGCAGCTCTTGCTCACGGCTTAGCTTGGAAACTGTCAGGCAATACTCTGAAAAAGGACTCATCCCAAATGTGGACGTGAACGTGAGTGAAATTCCCAGGGAGACTTGTCTAGATGGGTGGACTTACAGTCAAAAAGTCTACCAGTCAACTATTGTTACACAGGTGAGCAATCACTCATCAATTAATTTTACTTTGAATACATTTTTTTTCAGAAATATATTGAATTTTGTAGCATTTTTGTAAGTAAGCCTAGTTTTCAGGTAGCTAAAATTCAATTTGACTAAAAACGCAAATGTGCAAGACAACGTTGTATTGGTATTTTATTACATCTGAGAGGTAATCCCAAAGAATGAGATGTAGCAAAGGAAAAATATCAGGCAATACATTTTTCCAGCAACAAACACACAACTCAGTGCTGTAGCCAAGATGTGCAAAGTCCAAATTAAATGAACTTAAATGAGTGGAAGATGGCAACACTCCAGCTACAATAGCACTAAGCAGAGCCAAATGTTAGTTACACATACACATCCTCATATTCATGGTCATATGATCCCCTATTATCATTAAGTAAATCAAATATTGGCCACTAAGCATTTAATAACTGGTCACATAGCAAATTTAAACAAGCTGAACTACAAAAACTGGAGCTTACTTAACAATTAGTTGTTACAAATGTTAAATATTTGCAACCGGTACAGATCTCCTGCAAACCTACCTGACAAAGGCATAAATAAAGCTATATATTACAATAATACAAATCTGACATGACACTTGCATAAATGATGTAACTTGAAAAGATTTTAAATCTCAACAATACAACATGTATTACATCAATGTTACGCAAAAGCAAAGATAAAACACTTTTGCATAAGCAGTTGACTGCCATAGGTGACCTCATAAAAGTGTTGACATTGGCTTGTGATGCCAGCGTCTAGTTACTTCCTCTTTATACATTTTTAAACTGCTCTCTAAGACTTTCTAATGATTTTACCGGTGCAATGCAAGGAAACTAAAAAGTCTGAGACTCATGTCTGTTCAGGTGATGCCATTGTGGCTTTCACTACCCTTTAGGTCATACTAATAGAGAGTGAGGTTCATAGTAGGTTTATTATATTTTAAGAAAACTTGAAGTATGTATTACAGATTTTTACAGTCATTAAATGAGTAAGAAAATGTGTTGACTTTCCAGTGGGACTTGGTATGCGGGAATGCATACAAACTTCCATTGGCCACCTCTATTCAATATGTTGGCGTTCTGGTGGGAGCTTTGATCTCAGGTCTAATGTCTGACAGGTCTGTACTGTGCACAGCATTGTTTGAACCCTTTAACAAACAGTCTCATCTCCCTGTCTGGGATAAAGTAAAATTATAGCTTACTCAACTTTTTTTTTACACAGGTATGGAAGGAGGCCAGCGCTCTTCCTCATGATGGCTCTCCAGACTGTTGCAGTCACAGCACAGATATTTTCACCTAGCTGGGAGATCTTTACCCTTATTTACTTCTTTGTGGGTGCTGGGGCTTTCTCCAACTATACCATTGCATTTGTGCTGGGTAAGTTTTGGGGTTTTTTTGTGGGTTTTTTTCCCCCCAGGAAAAATTTAAATATTTGACACTGCATGTTCTTGTTTTGTCCATCTTTGCTCCGTCTTTACCGTCACCCCAACAGGTCGAGGCTATGCCTTCCTTGAACCTGATTATGCTACAGGTCTTTTCCTGTTGACCTGCTGCCAGTCTGCTTGCTCATAGGAAATCTTTGAATTGGTTGGGTTTTCTATGCATAGTTTTGTAAGATTTTAACTTTTTGTTCTCCATAATTGAATAATACAGTCGGATTTTAACCGTATATTTTATTGAATTTAGTCAGGTCAATATCTGTTTTATACTTTTGGAGGAAACATACATCATATTTAATATACTTTACTCTGGTAAATTCACATTATAAATCACCCTGTAGGGTCTTAAACTTAGTATTTAAAGGTACATTTGCAATTCCAACGGTTTATTTCTCTACTGGAAAGCACTTTAACGTAATTAATTTAGCTAAATAAACACCTGTGCTGACTTGTTTCAGTGCTGTGTGTTGTGATGTGATGGACCATCTGAACAGCAAGAAAGAGCAGTTCAAGCGTTACCCTTAAGGGTTAGAAGAATAGAATAGAATAGAATAGAATAGAATAGAACTTTATTGATCCCTTTGGTGCAAACCTCAGGGAAATTGTTGTACTAGAAAAACAACAACACAACACCAACACAACATTAGTAATAATAGTTATAATAATAATAAGAATTAT